GAACGGAGTTGTTGTCGTCGATTTCCGACGAAGGAGTTCAATTGCGACTTAGTGAATGCCGAATGATTGCGATTTCAGACTTAGGGAGTAGAGTTGATTGCAATTTGAGTGGGATTTCAGAGAGAAATTTTCAAAGGAAACTGAAAAATCTGAGAGAAACTGAGAAGAAAGAGAAGCTGAGAAACAAAGAAAGGAAATCGATGGAATAGACTGTGATTAGGGTTTTTGAAATCAGACCAGTTATCCGACAATTAGATTTATGACATTGCCAACAATAGTGGCTAACTGCTAACAATGGCTTAAGGTGGTATGGCTGTTTTCGTTAAGTTAAAACATTTTAATTGTTAGGGTGTTTTTCCTAAATCTAAAAAATAAGCGGTTAAAAAAATATTAAAAAAATAATAATAAAAAATATTGTTAATAATATTTGAAAAAAAGACGATTAATAATCTACATAACATACTTTTCATTTACTCACACAAAAACTATTATTCACTAATTTATTCGAACCAACCAAACACATTTTCTAAACATTCCCATAATCTTTAAAGTGATCTTTTATTCCGTTAATGTAGTATTCCCTATAATAAAACATTATATATCCAAACACCTTATTAATATTTGAAGATTACTAAAAACTTATATTATTTAACAACCAATATGATAATTAAATAATATAAGATACATTATCTCAATAATCCTGTATAACCCCTAACTACACACACTTAATGTGATAAGAAAAATGCTGCTTTATGCTCCTCAAACCGCTAGTTGCCTACTTTTAAGGATAATAATAAAAACTAAAATAACAAAATCAGCTTTACATCCATCCTAATTCAGAAACGAAGCACTAAAAGAACAATAAAACGAATATTATTATATTATATATATATATTATATATATATATATATATATATATATATAATTTATATATGTCACATAATAAATTTCAGGACTCTGGATCCTGCACAAACTAGCGCCCAACTGAAATCTAAAGCATAAGTGTCTTCTGATGACATTCCAGCTGCTACAAAAGATGAACAACAATCAAAAAGCAGAAATGAACTTCTGGATTCTAGACTGTGCTCGCTTCTCCTCTGCTCCATCTAAGTCCCCAATGTTGTATGGTATTCCTGTTCGTAAAAACAATAAGTATACCGGGGGAGTAAGGTTGATTATGAGTTACATTTTCATGTTAAACATGAACTAACACGTACCAAACACCGTGCTAAATTTCAAATCATGAATTTTTTTCTTCATACAAACAACAATTTGTTGTTTCATCTCAACTAGAAACCTTTTTTTTTTTTAAGGAGAAAAAAGGGAAGACTAATATGGAAGAAATATAGAAGATAAGAGAACAAAATAATAAGAAGGGGGAAACACAACTTCTCTTTATTAACTCAATATATCATACCACATTTGGCTGCACATATTTCCGATGCAAATTGCCATTTGATAACCATTTGGTCGAAATTTTATATACAGGCCAAAAGAATTTTTATGTCAAAATCTTTATAAATATTTTTGTATGGCTGGTTACAACTAAGGATAGTTGTATTCAGCATCTCACAAAAATACATCTTTTACAAAGAGGTCATAGGTTGTTTCTAGTTTTAATACAGGAAAAAAAAAGAAAAGAGAAAAAAGGATGTGATATGAGGAAATGCTCAGCAAAATGTTTAAATAAAATGAGGATATTCTTGACATTTTCAAAACTTTAAATAAGTTTAAAAATAGTTTGTAATACCTCTATGCATGTTGAATTACAACCAAACAGACAGAATATCTTCAAAAGAGCTTTAACATCAAACAAAATAGACATTGAGGTCATATTTACTTTTATGGAATTGGAGGAATGGGAGTGGGAATTTCCTTCTTTCTCATCCATAGTTTACTTCAGCATTTAATGGCATTTCTTTCATTTTTAACAAATGAACCATGCGTACAATAGAATGGAAAACAAAAAAGGATCTCCGTTAATTCCATAAGTAAACGACCTAAGAAGAGTTTATGGTAATAAGTTATTTACATCATTTGCAAGAAGCTAAGGTTTAGACGTTTAAATTTTAACAGCTCTTCTGAGCTATTAAGGATTTGAAATGTCAAAGATATCCCCATGTTATTTTCAAATTTTAACTTATATCTGTACCAGGCATGATCTGCAAGACTACAACCCCTCAACTTACACATTATTATATTGACTTCCCAAAGCAGTATCAATGGTTTAGATGTGATAATACTCCCTCCGTTTCATATAAAAGAAATTTTAAGCTTGGACACGATTTTTAATAAAAAAAAATTTTGCCTCTCTCACGCAACTTTTTCACTTGATTTACAGGTGGGAAACTTTCCCGTTGATTTAATAATTTACATTTGTCTTTATTCCATTTCTTTTATCTGTCGTCCTCACTCATTCATTTCTGTTCCATTTCCATCTCTTTGATTCTGTGAAACGTGGCTCCTTAAAGTCAAAGAATGACCCCGGTAAAGTCCGAGTTGAGGATCCTGTCTTTAAACTTGTTCCGAAAAAGAGAGAGAGATCGAAGCGAGAGAGCAGAGTAGAGAATAAGAAGTGGGCGATGGAAAATATGGAAGAGAGAAGAAGAGGGGAAGAGATAAGATGAGATAAAGAGAGATAGAGGAGATGTGGGCCATAACGAAAAGTGGACAAAGGACAAAGACAAGAGCGAGTTTAATTTAAAAAATAAAACACTTTAAAACGACTTTTATATAAAAACAGAGGGAGGTAATTTAGTGGATTTCAAATGATAACGTGTGAACGATATATAAACTATGTACATCATTATTTTTAAATTAATATATTAAAATTTCACTCATCACATTTTATACTGCTATTGAAAATATTCTCTTGTAAACATTAAAACTACATGATATATATCAAATTTGACACAATTTTATATCCCTTGGATAAGGGAATAGATGATGAAAATACAAGTAAAGTGGGAATTAATGTTTTCATTTATTTCTAATATAATCTATAAAAATTTCTCTATACTATATTCTCTCCATTATTAATATATTATATCATCTCTTTCTCATTAAAATACACAAAATCTTCTCCTCGTTAATTGAACAAATTCTCTCTCCCATAATCTTTCTCCGCACGCCACTTCATTCACACCACAAACTTTACTCTTAATTAAAACTTTTCATTGATAACCTTTTACTTCTACTATTTTAAAAAAAAAAAAAAAAAAAGCAAAATGAGTTGCTACTGGACTAATCTTTCAAACTCGATTGTCCATTCATGAGCTTGAGTCCAACTCATTCAAGTAAATTTATTGGTTTAATGAATTTTTAACAAACCTAATTGAAGATACTATTTTTTTTTTTTTTTTCTTATTTTGCGTGATACGCTATAATAGAGTGAAATACCAAGATCTTTCCTAGTTAAATTGTCAAGTTCAACATAGCAGTAAAAAATTGGATTTATGTTTTGCTATAACCAAAGCTTTTAATACTAGTATCATGAGAAAATATAAAATCATAGCCATTATTTGACTCATTCATCCATACTTTCTATCTAAATATAACATTTTAAATCTATAATTCTCTAATCATAATAACATATTCTTATAAACTAGACAAATTTCGTTAGTTTTTTTAGTCTTATAATAATTTTATTTAATTTTGTGTATTATGAGAAAGTTTCTGTGTGTGAGATGAAGATGGCCAGTAGAGAAAGAATATGGGAGAGAGAGTGATTGAGAATACGAAGAGAAATTTTGTATCATTAATGAGAGGATTTTATAAAATAATAGGAAAGAGAGTGATATATACATTAAATAATAAGAGATAATTAGGAAAAAAAAAAATTTAATTATATTAGAATTATGTAAAAACATTAATTTTCACTTCAGTCATATCTGACCATCATTTTGGTTTAATCCAAGGGACACAAAGCATGTCAAATTTTGTCCACAAAAGATACTATATATTAATTTGTTTTATCATTTAGGGAATTCATAAATTCTATCAATATTATCTTCACGATTCATAAAACTCCTTTTGATAATAAAATGATAACAGCATACAAAAGAAAAAAGGGGAAAAAAAAAAAATTTAAGGTTTAAAAGAATGAGTGAGGAAAGATGAAAGAGAAAAAAGGGAAAAGTAATTTAAAATGTAAATACATAGTTAGTATTCCCATGTATCATTATAAAACCCACTAACTCATACAATTATATCTAAACCATTGGTATTCTTTTGAGCTAATGAATACAAATTGATGTTACAATTTGTGTAAAGTTAAGGGACCCATTTATATGTGTACATAATTATTCAAACAAACACCCAACAATTTTTTTTCACAAAAGCACTGTAAAAATAAAGTTCAATAAACTCTGATTTATAAGCTCTAAGCCGTAGCAAAACTTTATCTTAGAAAGAATAATTGACATGTTGGACAATTAACGACATGATAATAATATCTTCATCGTCAGCTGATGATAAGTTTAACCTTTTTTTTTAACAAAGAAAAGAGTATAGCCACAAGTGTGTTAAAACATTTTTTCTTTCTCTTGGTAAATGAAGGGTGTAATACCGCTGGTAATGAACACCATATGCCACTTTCAACAATTCTTTGGATGCACACAAACAAACAATTGTATCTGAGCTTACAGTTACAATTACATAAATCATAAAACCATGCATATTTAATTGTTTTCCATGTCTAGAATCTTGGGTGTTATATGACATGAACCAGTTTTTAAGGCGAAAATGACAATTCTAGTGTGTCCATAAATAGCAACCGAATGAAAGAAGTTAGAATGCGTACCTGAAGTATATCTTAACATCCTTCTTTGTAAGCTTTTGCTGCTTAAGTAATAGCTCAATTCTTGTCTCATCTGAGGGTAACTGCACAAAAGATCAATAAACTTGAATTTATGCCAAAGATTGTATGAAACACCTTCAACGAGAAGAAATGAATAATCTTAGACGCATGTACTTACTCAGAGCACCAAAGATGACCCAGATGATAGCAATTAACTGCAAGTTTGCACAGAGAGTTAATAAGCACTGAAATTGATAATTAAAAGCACGTAGTTAAACAATCTATTGTGGTGTATAATCCCTAATTCAATTTAAAAATCACTTCAAAAACAATCACTTGAATAACATATCAATGGCAAAATATTTTCGAGTACTTAGTTTCACTTTCCTTCCAGCATCATTAAGTTAACAAGAAGCTGAGTTGTAATATTTAACATCAAATCCGCTAACTTCACTTTCTTTTCTTCTCACTGTTGTGGCTTTTAGTAGGTTAATGGCCAAAGCAATGGAACATTTGGGGGAAGGCTTAATTATCAGCAGGATCCAGTCAGGTTCTCATCAGCAATAGGTGGATGAACAGCACTTTCTTCAATTTCGAAATATTGATCCAAGTTTCTTGCTCTAGTTGGATGGCCGAATTGATTTTGGAACTTCAATTTTTTTTTTTTTTTTTTTAAAAATAACAGGAAACAGCCAAGATCTAAATTTATGTAATAGAAAAAGAATACAAGAATGGAGAGGTATGCACTACAAAAACTGAAGTTCTGTAAGAGGGGGGTTCAAAGGCTAACAAAAACCCACAGAATTTCACTTATTGTCTCAAAAAAAAAAACTAACTTCAGCACTTCAACTCTCCTTTTGGTATAGGAGTGTTCTAATGGATTTTACAACTTTCACACACAGACACAAAAAGATAAGAAAAAAAAGAAAAATATTCTCTATAAAAAATAAATAATAAAAAATAGAAGTGATATGTGATTGTAAAGATTAGTGAGCAACTTTAGCAAAGGCAAGTGTACTATGTAGGCCTACAACTCGTGCCAGTCCATCTAATACCAGATTACACTGATAAGTTACAAGTAAGAAGGAAGCCACCAAGACAAATTCTAACCTGAAGAGTGTATAGTCCAGATTCAAGCCTCGATTATACCTTTCTTCTTCATCCATTCCCAAAAACAAATTATTCAAAAGTGGAAATGGAATTAAATACCGAATAAAAACCAAGGGTAACCATCATTTAGGGGTTAGCTGTTTAAAAAAAAGACAAGAAAAGGTACACAAGTCCTAAAACCATTAAAAAGGTCAATTACCAAATCTTCACTATTAAGATAACAGTAATTAAGGTTATTTAACGCTACCGTGTGGAAGTCAAACAATTTAAATTTCATAACCAATTATGACACAAATATAAATCAAATGAAATAAATACCAAAACAAATCATATTAGGACATTGGCAAAGAAGGCCTAAACTTACACTAAAAAAGACAAACTTTGAAGTGTCAAGAAATCGAATGCTTCATGTTCTTCACACTTCAAGAAAGAAGGTGAAGTTGCTAACATTTTCAGTATGAAACCTTAGAAAAGAAATAAAATAATAAATAAATAAAACACACCAAACACGTTATAAGAAAAAAATTAATAGGTGACGTGTCCATTTCACTGCTCATTACCAACAAACTCAAAATCCCATGTTAACCCATTTTATAAGAACTAAAACCATTAACCTAAGCAAGGGAACCACAAAAAAGGTAATAAAATGATAAACTCAGAAAATTACACCTTTGAAAAAGCCTTTCCACAACAAAAAGGTGTGTAAAATACTCTCTTTTCAAGTGTGGACGAAGACAAAGCATTTGTTTCCTTCACACTTCAAAGTTTGTCCTTTTTAATAAGATTAGGTCTCCTTGCCATATGTCCTATTGATTCATTCTTGGCAGTTATTCTCTTTTACATATGTTTCCTTGCGTCATCCCTTGATGTTTATGAAATTTAAATTATTTGACTTCACAAAATGGTTATGGTCTCTTAATCATTACTCATTGTTATCTTTGACAATGATGGTCTCTAACTTACCTAATTAAAGGGTTTCAGGACTTTGATCTTTTCTGTCAGATTTTAAAGCTCCTAAATGATAATACCTCCAAAATGAATTACCTCTAAATCATCAAGTTCAAGCTATCATTCGTTCAGTCTCCGCTGCAACTCTATCGAATATCTGGATCAAGATTATAATCATTAGAGGGATATAAATCTAATAACAACTTGGCCCAAAGTATGGCCGAACAACTTTTAGTTCGTGACAGAAAGGAAAGAAAGGTTCGATGGTTGCATTTACTCTTCAAACAGAACAAATTCAAGATTATCCACATGTCTATTTGAAGAGAAAAGAATATATATAAATATTTGGCTACATTAATACGCAAATAACCAGTACCTCCTATACAAACTCCATAAGACGATCTATCTTCTCACACTCGTTTTCCAAAAACTTATTTAACAATCTTTCCCTTCTAGAACCCCTCAAAATTCCACCTGTAAAGGAAGCATAAAGCAAACTAGTAATTATTGTACCACAATAAGTTTGAGAAGCAGGAAAAACATATAGCAATATGCCAAATGATTACAGGCTTAATAGTTGTTCAATGCAATGTTTCTAATCACAACAGTAAATAGATTCAAAAGAGCTCTTACCTCTAATGTCCGTACAAGCACACATTAAATAAACAGGCAATCAATTTCAGCCAACTGAATTACAATGCAAAAGACACCCCATCAACGTCAACCTTCATTTTAGGTGCAGTCTTTCATTAACAATGAGCCTATTTTAATGCACTAACCAATATGTTTATAGGCTTATTAGTTGTTCAGTGCAATTTTTCAATCAGAACTTTACACAGATTCAACAAGCTTAAATTAAATGTTCCCACAAGCACAAATAAAAAATAATCAGGCAACTGATCGGGACCAACAGAATTCCAAGACAACAGACACTATTAAGGTACAACTTTCACAGTTCAATTTCAGTTAAAGGTTGATCCCTACCTAAACATGTAGGTTGAAGGTGCAGTCTTAGTCAACAATGAAACCAGAGGTTTAACACCTTAACATAACTTGGGTAGGGCTAGCATGGTTATGACCAATCAGATTACTGAGGTCCGGTAAAACATTGTTTCATCAAAAAATATACAAACATTATAAATAATACTAGATAACAGAATGACTAAACCTGCTGTTTAATTGAAATATCATACAATTTGAGTGTCCATTATTTCTTTCCTTTCTTAAAAACAAGCAAATATAAATACTGAGCAAATATCGACCAGAATTACTGTTCACAGCATATATATATATATATTGGACTGCAAATATAAATACTGAGCATAAATAGATCCACATGTATTGTATGAAAGTTCAACCAGGCATGGCCCAGTTGGGTCAGGCTGGATAAGGGCCTGATTCATAGACCAATTCACTGCTAGTTAGTGTACATAGGTTGAGAATCAGTTTTGAAATTCAACCGAACATTGAATTTTACCAGATTGGTGGTTTGGTTCAAACCATCCAAGATACAACTAATTATCCCTTCCAATTCACAAATCTAGTGCCCACTCAATCCTTGACTTACATCAAGTAAATGAGAGAGCTCTTCTTAGATCCACAATTGATAATGTACATCTCTTTCATCAAAGAAAATACTGTCACAAACTTACAACTTCTAATAAGAAACTGAATAAGTCTATCCTTACAAAGAACTCTACAAAGAAGCTTACAAAGTGAAGAAAAAAACAAAGGAAAAAGAGAAAGAGAGAGAGAGAGAGAAATGATGAAGATGAAGGGTGAAGGTTAACTTTGTATGCCTCCTTTGCAGGCTTCTTAGTAAGACTAGCACTGTTGTAAGAAACTCCACATGAACATCCAATTTCCTGGTAACATCATGCTGGAAGAATTTTCAACAACTTCAAAGTATCAAGAACAGAAATATACAGAATAAGATACGAATCCATAATGATGAAACACCTGATGTGTTGGTCTATAGTAGTAAGTGTAGGAATGGATAGTAGAGGATTATTTGGGACAGGTGGCAATAAGAGTGTGGCTAACTGGGGACTTCTGTTATGGAGAGAGTCTGAATAGGATAAAAAGGAGACAGGGAGAATTGGGGAGGATATTCAGAAAAGAGAAAAGTGGAGAGTGGGAGGTTGCTGGCCCTTGAAGTCCAGCACTATCTAGGAGGAGTTGGTCCCTAAAGACCAACATTATTTTTTTATTTCTTTTGTTTAAGTTTGCTATTCCTTTCGATTGTGCTGTTGGGTAGTGATTGCTAAGTTTAATTCTTCTGTGTATTTGGTTTGCTAGAATATAAATAGACTTGACTGTTATTTTCTGGGTTTTGCTACTCTTTGTTGATATTTTTCTGGGTTGAGTCTGAGTGTTGTTGTTGTTATTGTTGTGGTTTGATTGAGTATTGGAAGGTACCTATCACATAACATCAGATAAATACCACAAACAGCGTCACATCTTCGAAATCCAAAATTCCAAAAAGAAAATAAGAATAATCAAGTACAAGAATCATTTTCTTACAAGAACTAAAGAAATTGTATTAAATGATGAATCAATGTTGAAGATACAAATATGGATAGCAGATAAGATTGAAGACAAAAATCAAATGGAGGGAATCATGGCCTATGCAGTGACTCAGCTATGCAGTTCATGAAGATTTAAGGTATTTGTAATTGTTTTTATCTTCAAACACATTGTAGAGGGTACAATGCAATAAAAATTATACTTTGACCAGTCACCACACCTCGTTAAGGAGGTGGATACAGAATAAATGCTCAATATCTAAGGATCATCAATTCCACAATGATGGACAAGAGATTGAATTTAGGATTTTTTAACCCATGAAATGAAATGGTTGACCTTTGATCCATGTTTCTTTTTCTTTTCTTCAACATAAAACAAAATTCAACTTCAAGATATTTACTGTAAACTGAACATACTTTCAAATTTTAAATACCACATCTTTTTTACATATTAAAATGTATTGCAATATAAACATAAAACACAATTAAACACTCTTAAAGGTATCACTTGCCTGCTTACCAAATAATGATGCAATTAGGGACACAAGGCGCTCTTCTAACTCCTCTTGGTACCGCTCTTTCTTGTTCTTCTTGCTCAAAGGAATCTAAACAACAGATGACAAAATCATTTCTCAAGTTAATGTTACATCTTCAAATTAATTATGCATAAGTTAAGAACGACCAGCAGTATCATATAAATTTAATAATTGTGAGAAACTGATGAATAACTATATCATTGAACTGGACAAGGAACTCCTATACTCATCAGCTGATCAGTAAACACCTTCTCCCCCTGCTGCTTATTCCTGGACTTTCAAGCTAACAAAGTTGCCCCCAAGAGTGGGTCTCATGCAGATACAAATTTTCAAGAAAAATTGCAACATGAAAAGACAACAAAATACTAGGATGAAATGGAAATGAGATATAACTTGAGCCCCTCGAGAAATGGTTTGCTCTTTGGCAAAAGAAGGGCTGAACCCAACACATTGGCTTGGCTATAATATCTCAATTTTTTTATTTCTGCTAATGAATGCCAAGATAGGCCATCCCTCACTCTAGGAAATGTTCTTGATAGATATCTTTTGCATTAGAAAAGAAGTTTTAACTTGACAGTGCATATTTTTTTATCAAATAATGATATTGGCACATCCATCTTTAAGCCAAAATGTTCAATCAGAAAGGAATAAGTTTTGATTGTCATCTACAGAATTTTCAAACGTAAACAAAAGGTTTTCCTTCTAAATCCTAAAAACTTTGCAGTGTAGCACTCATTTACTCTGTAAAACTAATTTGGAGCTACGCAGACAATTAGATCCTCCATTTTTATCCAGCCACTAGAAACGCAATAAATAGACATTAAAAGAAAATTTATTGGAATTCAAGAGCAAGAAAACAAAAAAATTATTTTCCAAAGCTCTGTGTTTAAGCAGATGAGGTCTAATTTTATAACAACATTCAGTTAGCAACACTAAGGTAAAGAGCATTGCAATTGAAATAACAACAAAGACTGTAAAAAGGGAAAGAAGAACTTGCCTTACCCATAAAAGCGGCAAAAGCAGTTTTTAACCCCAAAACATCCACAAAGCGTTCACAAGCAGGCGGATACTTGGTCATGGCAAAATCAAGCGCCCTTATTGCTGACCCATAAGCCAATTTCTTCTGCTTCATAATAATAATCATCAGCTCCACTCCCTCAGCCTTAACAAACCTCTCCTTATTCTCCAAAGGCATCAACAAACAACACAAAGAGTCAAAAAGATTCTCCAACATCTCCTCCTCATCAGAACTCTTAGGATCCTTCGACTTGTACATAGCCACAGCTTGCAAAAGCACATCCACACCATTCATCTGACCCACCCTCTTCTGATTAGCCGTACTGTTCTGTAACAAAATGGCCAAAATCTCCGAGGCGTATTGCTTAGTACTATCAAATTCTCTCACCTTAATCTTCCCTAGTAACCACCTCAACAACTTCGTCCTCTCACAAACTAACTCAGCCACCGAGGGTTTCACCTCAATCAAATTCTCAATCGTAGCTAACGTATTATACACAGCCGCCATATCATCTGGATCCGAATCCGATAATCTCTGCAAATTCTGAACCAGCAACTCCAACACATTATTCTCAATCAAACAATCCACCAAAAAGCGCGCAGGTTCATCGTTATCCTCTAAAACATCCTCGTCCGTCAAATCTTGTAACAAGTGAACGACATCGATGGCAATGTCGGTGTTATCGTGAGAGAGCAGACCTAAAATCGAGGGAATGACGTTGAGATTGACGAGGTCAGGGTACAACTCGGGACCGCCGGCGAGGACTTTGAGCTTCTCGAGCTCGTCGTGGAGGTCGACCTCGGTGTCGGCGAATCGGTCGGGTTGGTCGGGGTATTTGAGACGAGCTTCAATGTTCTCTTTGAGACGGCGCTCGAAAGAAAGGACGAGCTTCTTGAGAGCGCGAAGGTCGAGAACTTCGACAGTGGATTGAGATTTCTCCAAGGCCTCGAGGAGAGAGAGGTCAATGTTGTTGATGTTGTTGTTGTTGTTGTTGTTGAGGCCGTTGGCGATAACTTCGCCGGTTCGTCTGCGTTTGCCGCCGGCTTCCATATCGTTCTTCTTTGTGTCTAAGCCCTAATAATTTATAGTGTTAAATGTTAAGCTACACGATTTTTAATAAAAAAATTTTGCCTCTCTCACGCAACTTTTTCACTTGATTTACGGTGGGAAACTTTCCCGTTGCATATTTAAATAATTTACATTTGTCTTATTCCATTTCTTTTATTCTGTCGTCCCTCACTCATTTCCATTTCTGTTCCATTTCCATCTCTTGATTCTGTGAAACTGTGGCTCCTTAAAGTCAAGAATTGACCTCCGGTAAAGTCCGATTGAGGATCCTGTCTTTAAACTTTGTTCCGAAAAAGAGAGAGAAGATCGAAGCAGAGAGGCAGAGTAGGAAATAATAAGAAGTGGGCGATGGAAAATATGAAGAGAGAAGAAGAGGGAAGAATAAGATGAGATAAAGAGAGATAGAGGAGATTGTGGGCCATAACAAAAGTGGACAAAGGACAAAGACAAAGAGCGAGTTTTTTATTTGAAAAATAAAACACTCTTAAAACGACTTTTATATAAAAACAGAGGGAGTATAATTTAGTGGATTCAAATGATACGTTGTGACTGATAATACTAACTATGTACATCATTATTTAATTAATATTAATTAACATTTCACTCATCAACATTTATTACTGCTATTTGAAAATATTCTCTTGTAAACATTAAAACTACATGATATATATTCAAATTTTGACACAATTTTATATCCCTTGGATTAAAGGGAAATAGATGATGAAAATACAAGTTGAAATTAATGTTTTCATTTATTTCTAATATTAATCTATAAAATTTCTCTATACTATATTATCTCTCATTATAATTATTATATCACTCTCTTTCTCATTAATTACACAAATCTCTCTCCTCGTTAATTGAACAAATTCTCTCTCCCATAATCTTTCTCCGCACGCCATCTTCATCTCACACACAACTTTAACTCTTAATTAAACCTTTTCATTGTAACCTTTTACTTCTACTATTTTAAAAAAAAAAAAAAAAAAACAAAATGAGTTGCTACTGGACTAATCTTTCAAACTCGATTGTCACATTCATGAGCTTGAGTCCAACTCATTCAAGTAAATTTTATTGGTTTAATTGAATTTTTACACAAACCTAATTGAAGATACTATTTTTTTTTTTTTTTCTTATTTTGCGATGATACGCTATAATAGAGATACCAAGATCTTTCCTAGTTAAATTGTTCAAGTTCAACATAGCAGTAAAATTGGATTTATGTTTTGCTATAACCAAAGCTTTTAATACCTAGTACCATGAGAAAATATAAAATATAGCCATTATTTGACTCATTCATCCATACTTTCTATCTAAATATAACATTTTAAATCTATAATCTCTCATCATAATAACATATTTCTTATAAACTAGACAATTTCGTTAGTTTTTTTAGTCTTTAATAATTTTATTTTAATTTTGTAAGTATTATGAGAAATTTTCTGTGTGTAGATGAAGATGGCCAGTAGAGAAGAATATGGAAGAGAGAGTGATTGAGAAACGAAGAGAAATTTTGTATCATTAATGAAGAGATTTTATAAAATTAATAAGGAAAGAGAATGATATTATACATTAAATATAAGAGATAATATAGGAAAAAAAAATTTATAAGTTAATATTAGAATTATGTAAACATTAATTTTCACTTCAGTCATTCTTGATCTGACCATTCATTTTGGTTTAATCCAAGGGACACAAAGCTATGTCAAATTTTGTGCCACAAAAGAATACATATATATAATTTGTTTTATCATTTAGGGAATTCATAAATTCTATCAATATTATCTTCACGATTCTAAAAACTCCTTTTGATAATAAAATGATAACAGTCCATACAAAAAGAAAAAAGGGGAAAAAAAAAAAAAATTTAAGGTTTAAAAGATTGAGTGAGAAAGATGAAAGAGAAAAGGGAAAAGTAATTTAAAATTGTAAATACATAGTTATTGTCATTACCCATGTTTATCATTTAAAACCCACTACCTCATACAATTATATCTAAACCATTGGTATTCTTTTGAGCTAATGAATACAAATTGATGTTACAATTTGTGTAAAGTTAAGGGACCCTATTTATGTGTACATAATTATTCAACCAACACCCCAACATTTTTTTCACAAAGCACTGTAAAAATAAAGTTCAATAACCTCTAGATTTATAAGCTCTAAGCCGTGCAAAACCTTTATCTTTAGAAAGACTAATTGACATGTTGGACAATTAACGACATGATAATAATATCTTCATATCGTCAGCTGATGATAAGTTTAACCTTTTTTTTTAAAAAGAAAAGAGTATAGCATACAAGTGTTTAAAACATTTTTTCTTTCTCTTATGGTAAATGAAGGGTGTAATACAGCTGGTAATGAACCACCATATGCCACTTTCAACAATTCTTTGCATGCACCCAAACAAACAATTGTATCTGAGCTTACAGTTACAATTACATAAATTCAAAAACCATGCATATTTAATTGTTTTCCATGCTAGAATCTTGGGTGTTATATGACATGAACCAGTTTTTTAAGGCGAAAATGACAATTCTAGTGGTCCATAAATAGAACCTGAATGAAAATTTAGAATGCATGTACCTGAAGTATATCTTTAACATCCTTCTTTGTAAGCTTTTGCTGCTTAAGTAATAGCTCAATTCTTGCTCTCATCTGAGGTAACTGCACAAAAGATCTAAACTTGAATTATGCCAAGATTGTATGAAACACCTTCAACGAAGAGCAATGAATAATCTTAGACGCATGTACTTACTCAGAGCACAAAAGATGACCCAGAATGATAGCAATTAACTGCAAGTTTGCACAGAGAGTTATAAGCACTGAACTTGATAATTAAAAGCACGTAGTTAACAATCCTATTGTGGTGTATAAATCCCTAATTCAATTTCAATAAATCACTTCAAAACAATCACTTGAATAACATATCAATGGCAAAATATTCTCGAGTACTTAGTTTCACTTTCCTTCCAGCATCATTAAGTTAACACAAGAAGCTGATTTGTAAATATTTAACATCAAATCCGCTAACTTCACTTTCTTTTCTTCTCACTGTTGTGGCTTTTAGTAGGTTAATGGCCAAAGCAATGGAACATTTGGGGAAGGCTTAATTATCAGCAGGATCCAGTCAGTTCTCATCAGCAATAGGTGGATGAACAGCACTTTCTTCAATTTCAGAAATATTGAATCCAAGTTTCTTGCTCTAGTTGGATGGCCGATTGATTTTGCAACTTCAATTTTTTTTTTTTTTTTTTTTTTAAAAATAACAGGAAACAGCCGATCTAAATTTATGTAATAAGAAAAAGAATACAAGAATGGACGAGGTATGCCCTACAAAACTGAAGTTCTGTAAGAGGGGGTTCAAAGGCTATACACCACACAGAATTTCACTTATTGTCTCAAAAAAAAAAACTAACTTCAGCACTTCAACTCTCCTTTTGTATAGGAGTGTTTCTAATGGATTTTACAACTTTCACCAACAGACACAAAAAGATAAGAAAAAAAAGAAATAATTCTCTCATAAAAAAAATAATAAAAAAATAGAATATATGTGATTGTAAGATTAGTGGCAACTTTAGCAAAGGCAAGTGTACTATGTAGGCCTACAACTCGTGCCAGTCCATCTAATACCAGATTACACTGATAAGTTACAAGTAAGAAGGAAGCCACCAGACAAATTCTAACCTGAAGAGTGTATAGTCCAGATTCAACCTCCGATTATACCTTTCTTCTTCATCCATCTGCAAAATACAACAAATTATTCAAAATTGGAATATGGAATTAAATACCGAATAAACCGAAGGTACCATCATTTAGGGGTTAGCTGTTTAAAAAACAGACAAGAAGTCACAGTCCTAAACCCATTAAAAAGGTCAATTACCAATCTTCACTATTAAGATAACAGTAATTAAGGTTATTTAACGCTACCGTGTGAAGTCAACAATTTAATTTCAAACCAATTATGACACAAATATAAATCAAATGAATAAATACCAAAACAAATCATATTAGGACATCTGGCAAAGAAGGCCTAAACTTACACTAAAAAAGACAAACTTTGAAGTGTCAAGAATCGAATGCTTCACTTTCTTCACACTTCAAGAAAGTGTGAAGTTGCTTAACATTTTCAGTATGAAACCTTAGAAAAGAATAAAATAAAAATAAATAACACAACCAAACACGTTATAAGAAAAAATTAATAGTTTGACGTGTCCATTTCACTGCTCATTATCCAATCAAACTCAAAATCCCATGTTAACCCATTTTAGAACTAACACCATTACCTAATGCAAGGGAACCACAAAAAAGGTTAATAAAATGATAAACTGAAAATTACACCTTTGAAAAAGCCTTTCCACAACAAATGGTGTGTAACTATACTCTTTCTTTCAAGTGTGGACGAAGACAAAGCATTTGTTTCCTTCACACTTCAAAGTTTGTCCTTTTTAATATAGATTTAGGTCTCCCTTGCCATATGTCCTATATGATTCATTCTGGCAGTTATTCTCTTTTACATATGTTTCCTTGCGTCATCCCTTGATTGTTTGAATTTAAATTATTTGACTTCACAAAATGGTTGATGGTCCTCTAATCATTACTCTTGTTATCTTTGACAATGATGGCTCCTTAACTTATCCTAATTAAAGGGTTTCAGGACTTCTGATCTTTCTTGTCAGATTTTAAATAGCTCCTAAATGATAATACCTCCAAAAATGAATTACCTCTAAATCATCAAGTTCAAGCTCATTCATTCGTTCAGTCTCCGCTGCAACTCTATCTGAATATCTGGATCAAGATTATAATCATTAGAGGGATATAAATCTAATAACAACTTGGCCCAATTAGGCCGAACACCTTTTAGTTCTGTGACAGAAAGGAAAGAAAGATTCGATGGTGCATTTACTCTTCAAACAGAACAAATTCAAGATTATCCACATGTCCTATTTGAAGAGAAAAAGAATATATAAACTTTTGGCTACATTAATACGCAAATTAACCAGTACCTCATATACAACTCCATAAGACGATCTATCTTCTCACACTCGTTTTCCAAAACTTATTTAACAATCTTTCCCTTCTAGAACCCCTCAAAATTCCACCTGTAAAGGAAGCATAAAGCAAACTATTGTAATTATTGTACCACAATAAGTTTGAGAAGCAGGAAAACATATACAATATGCCAAATGATTACAGGCTTAATAGTTGCAATGCAATGTTTCTAATCACAACAGTAAATAGATTCAATAAGAGCTTACATATAATGTCCGTACCAAACCATTAAAACACGCGCATCAATTTCAGCCAACTGAATTACAATGCAAAAGACACCCCATCAACGTCAACCTTCATTTATGTGCGTCTTTCATTAACAATGAGCCTATTTTAATGCCCAACCAATATGTTTATAGGCTTTTAGTTGTTCAGTGCAATTTTTCAATCAGAACTTTACACAGATTCAACAAGCTTAAATTAAATGTTCCCACAAGCACAAATAAAAAAAATCAGGCAACTGATCGGGACCAACAGAATTCCAAGACAACAGACACTATTAGGTACAACTTTCACAGGTCAATTTCAGTTAAAGGTTGATCCCTGCCTAAACATTAGGGTTAAGGTGCAGTCTTAGTCAACGATGAAACCAGAGGTTTAACACCTTACATAACTTGGGTAGGGCTAGCATTGTAATGACCAATCAGATTACTGAGGTCAGGTAAAACATTGTTTCATCAAAAATATACAAACATTATAAATAATACTAGATACCAGAATGACTAAACCTGCTGTTTAATTGAAATATCATACATTTGAGTGTCCTATTTCTTTCCTTTCTAAAAACAAGCATATAAATACTGAGCAAATATCGACCAGAATTACTGTTCACAGCATATATATATATATTGGACTGCAAATATAATACTGAGCATAATAGATCCACATGTATTGTATGAATTCAACCAGGTATGGCCCAGCTGGGTCAGGCTGGATAGGGCCTGATTCATAGACCAATTCACTGCTAGTTAGTGTACATAGGTTGAATCAGTTTTGAAATTCAACCGAACATTGAATTTTACCAGATTGGTGGTTGGTTCAACCATCCAGATACAACTATTATCCCTTCCAATTCACAAATCTAGTGCCCACTCAATCCTTGACTTACATCAAGTAATGAGAGAGCTCTTCTTAGATCCACAATTGATAATGTATATCTCTTTAATCAAAGAAAATACTGTCACAAAACTACAACTTCTAAATAACTCCACATGAACATCCAATTTCCTGGTAACATCATGCTGAAGAATTTTCAACAACTTCAAAGTATCAAGAACAGAAATATACAGAATAACATACAAATCCATGATGAAACACCTGATGTGTTGGTCTATAGTAGTAAGCGTAGGAATGGATAGTAGATTATTGTGGACAGTTGGCAATAGAGTGTGGCTAACTGGGTTCTGTTATGAGAGAGTCTGAATAGGATAAAAGGAGACAGGGAGAATTGGGGAGGATATTCAGAAAAGAGAAAAGTGGAGAGTGGGAGGTTGCTGGCCCTTGAAGTCCAGCACTATCTAGAGGAGTTGGCCCCCAAAGACCAACATATTTTTTTTTTTCTTTTGTTTAAGTTTGCTGTTCCTTTTGATTGTGCTGTTGGCTAGTGATTGCTAAGTTTAATTCTTCTGTGTATTTGTTTTGCTAGAATATAAATAGACTTGACTGTTATTTTCTGGGTTTTGCTACTCTTTCTTGATATTTTTCTGGGTTAGTCTGATGTTTGTTGTGTTATTGTTGTGGTTTGATTGAGTATTGGAAGGTACCTATCACATAACATCAGATAAATACCACAAACAGCGTCACATCTTGCGAATCCAAATTCCAAAAAGAAAAAGAATATCAAGTACAAGAATCTTTCTTACAAGAACTAAAGAATTTGTATTAAATGATGAATCAATGTGAAGATACAAATATGGATAGCAGATAAGATTGAAGACAAAAATCAAATGGGGGAATCATGGCCTATGCAGTGACTCAGCTATGCGTTCATGAGATTTAAGGTATTTGTAATTGTTTTTATCTTCAACCACATTGTAGAGGGTACATGCCTTGACATTTTCAAAACTTTAAATAAGTTTAAAAATAGTTTGTAATACCTATAAGCTACGTTGAATTACAACCAAACAGCACAGAATATCTTCAAAAGAGCTTCTAACATTCAAAACCAAATAGACATTGAGGTCATATTTACTTTTACGGAATTGGAGGAATGGGAGTGGGAATTTCCTTTCCTTTCTCATTCCATAGTTGACTTCATGCATTTAATGGCATTTCTTTCATTTTTAACAAATGAACTATGCGTACAATAGAATGGAAAACAAAAAAGGATCTCCGGTAATTCCATAAGTAAACATGACCTAAGAAGAGTGTATGGTAATAAGTTATTATACATCATTTGCAAGAAGCTAAGTTTAGACGTTTAAATTTTAACAAGCTCTTCTTGAGCTATTTAAGGTTTTGAAATGTCAAAGATATCCCCATGCTATTTTCAAATTTTACGTTATATATCTGTACGAGGCATGATCTACAACCCCTCAACTTTACACATTATTATATTGACTTCCCAAAGCAGTATCAACGGTTTAGATGTGATAATACTTTCTCCGTTTTTATATAAAAGTCGTTTTAAGCTTGNGTAACATGTGGTATTCACGGAAGGCATGGAGTTGGTGGTAGAGGTGGAATTGGGATAGACATTGGAGTGATTTACCATTCTGTCATTATTCAGTTAAAGTTGACAGACAGGTCTTACTGATAGGTGGAAAAGTATCGTTTTGAAACTTTTCTAGTAGAAAAGTGTCATTTAGCCAAACCTTGGGTGTGAAATTGTTGTTCTCCCATTTAAGAATTGGACTAAAAATGGGGTAGCATGCAATGTTTAAAAGTCCACTTATGACATTTTCAATCAACTTATCCCTGTATATTTTAAAAATCAATAATGATTTGCTTACAATGAGTTATACAAATAGACAAAAATTACACAAAATTTATGTAAAATGATTACTATGTCTTTTGTTTTTTATCTATTTGTATGACTCAGTTGTAAGTATAGCATTGCTATTTAAAAATTACTCAACTATTCTCCAAAATCCTAACCCCTCCAACCTCTTTAAATGTTCAAGGGCACAGGGGCGAAGGGAGGGGGGGTCAAGGAGGGTCAGTTGACCCTCCTGGACTTTTAATTTTTTTTGCTATGTTTTTACAAATTTATCCCTATATAAAATTAAAATACCAAAAAGTTGCATTATATATTTATACCTAGTAAATTACACTTTTTTTGTTTTTGGGGCTATGAAACTAAAAGTAAACCCTTCATTCTCCTACTAAAAGTAAACCCATCATTCTCTGTAACGCCCCACTTAAGGTACGTAGTTAAGTTTGATGAATGGCTTGAATGTTTGTTAATTTATCCTCAATTGAGTTTGTATGTTGTTAATATTGTTTGGTTTATCCTTAGTTGAAAGGGTGTATTGGTTTGATTGAGTGAATGCCCTGAAAATTTGTAAGACTTGGCGAAATCTGGATGTTACAATCTTCGCCGGGGCGAAGAAGAAAGCTTCGCCGCGGCGATGAAGTGCTACATCCCGTGTAGCTACTGTGAGTTTTAGCCAGGGCGAAGAACTAGCTTCGCCGCGGCGAAGACTCGGCTGAATGTTTCCATTGAGTTTTAGAGAATTTTTCCTTTTGGGACTCAATGACCATTCTACCCTTAATTAACAGGAAAAGTGGGAAGTGAAATGCAAGGAAATTGCATGGAGAATAGTTTGAATGGGGTTGTTTTTGCAAAGAATGAAAGGTCTTAGGTGGAATTTCAAAGAAGGAGCAAGGGTATATTGGGAAAGAGTGGAGAAAATATGAGATATTAAGGGTTTAGCTTTAGAAACCCTTGCATTTGCTTTTTCACCACCGCCTCTTTCATCCCTCAATTCTCTCAAATTTTCATTCAATTTTCTCAAATTTTCATTCAATTTTCTCAAATTTTCATTCAATTTTCTAAGGATCTTTGAAGAGCTTTTGACTATAAATTGTTACAAGTTGATCCTAAGTACTATAAGGTGAGAATCCTTACTCTAGATGTAAGTTTTATTGTTGAAAGAGTAGAATCCTTATTGAGTTTGTATTGAAGGTTTAAGAGTAAGTATCAAGCCTTCAAGAGTAGAGAGCTTAAGTGGTTTGTCTTTGAGCTAAGGTAAGTAAATCCACCTAAGTTGTAATTTGTATTATTGAATGATGTGTAGAGATTTTATATATGCTTAATGCTTGAATTTCTATGTTTGAAATGAGTTGATGAATTCATGAATGAGTTCAATGTTGTTTATGAAAGAATTTCCACGATGAGTAGGGTGGATTGTGTTGATAAGTTTTGGTAGAAGTATGGAGAGAATTAGAAGAATTTGAGAGGAATATTTGAAGTGTGTTTTCTTTGCAGGATGTGTGATGATTTAAAGGAGTTGAACTCCTATTTTGGATGATTAAGAAAGAAGTATCATTAAAAATTAGAATAGAGTTTATGTATGCACACATATTGTTTGATGAAATGTCTAAAAGAAGTATGAGTAGAAGTAGAGAACCTTACTTTATGCAACATAGCATATTTGCATGTCATGAATGCATATAAGAAAGATTTTAGGCATGAGCCATCCATATGCAAATGTTTAATTGAGTAATCACATGAGAAAGAAATATGAGAAATGAGAAAGAAACACTCTATGAATAGAGATAAAGAAAAGAACTAATTCTCTTAGAATAAAGAGAAAGAAAGAACTAGCACTAGAGAATAAAATGATTATTAAGTGCTACAGAAAAGAAAAGAAAATAGGTCGTGCGATGGGGAACCCGTGAATGTAGAGTTACCTGCATGTAAACCGTCATGAGAGAGAGAGCGGTCTCCGCCATGAGAGAGCGGAATGAGAATGAGAAACAGAATTTGTATAGCCGTGAGAATACATGCGGATGAGGGCTATACATGAGAGAGAGTACACTCACATGACCCAGGGTTCCGAATCCATGCATCGACTAAGACCGGCAAAGAATAAGAATAAGAAAAGAATAGAAAGAAAATGCATTGTTATGCTTTAATATCTCGTCCATGCATGGTTACGATATTCTCCATGGGTGATGAGAATAGAAAGAAAGAAAAGAATAGCGAGAACTAGAATTAGAGAAAGTGACAAGAGTACGAAAAGAATTGATGAGAAATGCACGGGGATTATAGCGTAGAAGATTTACTTACTAAGCATCTTTGTGCTCACTCCGTTGTTTTCTTTGTTGTACAGGACATAGGTAAGGACCTGGTCGGATGGACGTTGGCAAGCGGGGAGACTTGGCTGCACTGTCCACTGTCTTTTTGAGAGTCTTTTGTACAAATGATGTTGTACTATGTAAAGAATGTATTTATTAAGTAAAGAAAATTTTTGAACCCAACCATTTTGATAAATACACTTGTCTTTTTATTGATATATTTATGAATATGATAGTAGAAAGAAGTTGTTACGTTCTCCTTCCCTCAAACGTCTTCTTCCTCTTCAATAACCTATAAAGCCAATTCTTTTCCTTTAAAGCTTCATCTACACAAGTGTAATTTTCTCCTTCTATCAAGCCAACAAGTCCTTTTTTTCTTCAATTTTTCAGGTAATATATTTTATGTTTGTATTATTTTATTTTAAAAGTTTAAGATTAAATTATAGATTAGGATTTAGGAAGATGAAATTGTCATTGGGACCACAAATTGCATCCATTTTTTTTATTTATTTGTAATGATATATTGAAGTTAGAGGAAGTAAGAAGATAGTTTTTAAACTTATTTTGGAGTTGGCCTTGGGACCAGACTGTTTTATCCATTCCATATTGCCCTTTTTTTGTTTTTTATATGGAGAAGATGAGTTCTTGGGACCACATTGTTTTACTAATTTTTATCTTTGTTATATAAAATGTTTGATTCAAATGAATTTTGGAGTTGGCTTTGGGACTACACTGTTTTACCATTATAGTCAAATTTGTGTTTTTTTTATATGGAGAAAAGGAGTTCTTGGGACCATATTGTTTTACTCATTTTTATCTTTGTTATATAAAAGTGTTTGATTCAAATAGATTTTGGAGTTGGCCAATGGCAATTTTGTGTTGTTTTTTTTATGGAGAAGAGGGGTTCTTCATTCTTGGGACCACATTATTTTACCCATTTTTATATTTGTTATAAAAAAGTGTTTGATTCAAATGGGAGTTAATTTTAATTGTTTTACAAGTGTTATGAAAAAGTGGATTTAATTGTACAAGTGTTTAGTTATTTGAATAGATTTTTTACACATATCAATTGAATTTTAGTCAATGTATATAATGTAAGATATATTTAAAAAAATACTACTTTAATTTAATTTTTGTTAAAGTACTTACAAATTAGAAAAAGAAAGAGATATACTTGTGAGTTGTGATGTGTATGTATTGTTAGAGTGAGTTGTGATGTGTATGTATTGTTAGAATACTTTAACTTATTAGCTTTATAAATTTTTGTAGTAGTTGTAATTTCACTTATCTTAATAATTATTATTGTATACATATATTATTGTTATTGTTTGGTTTTATTGAGTACATAGCTTATTTTGTTGCATTTTTCTCTATCAAGTAATAATATATTATTGTTTTGAAATAGTATGGAGAGATATTTCAAAAGAAAGTCAACAATGATCTCATCATTTGAACAAGAGGAAATATTGGTGATTCAAGTAAAAATGTGGATGTTGATTTGCGAGTTCTTCCTATGGATCCAGGCTTAAGACCCCGAATTTCAGATTATGATCCTAATATTCATGTTGGAGGTTCTAATAGTGCTCGTAATCAAGCTCGAAGAATGTGTGAAACATTATTGAATCAAGACCAACATATTCAGACATTTTTTGATCGACATTCTTCTCAAGCACGAACAGAGTATCGAACTCGTTTAAATGCTACAGTTAACTGTATTCGTTTTCTTATAAGGCAAGGATTTGCATTTCGTGGTCATGATGAATCCTATAATTCAAGCAACCAAGAGAATTTTTTCGAGCTTCTACAATTTCTTGCTAATCATAATCAAGATTACAATGTTGTTGCTTTTAAGAATGCTCCTGATAATCTCAAATTGACATCACCTGAGATTCAAAAAGACATTGTAAGTACTGCTTCAAATGAAACTGTAAGTGCTATCATTAGAGATTTATGAGATTCACTATTCGCTATAATGATTGATAAATCTCGTGATATCTCTAGGAAGGAACAAATGGCTATTGTCTTACGTTATGTTAACAAGAATGGACTTGTCGTGGAGCATTTTCTAGGTGTTGAACATGTTACTAGTACCACAACTCTCTCACTCAAGGCGACACTAGATAATTTATTTTCAAGGCATGGGTTGAGTTTTTCTAGACTGCGAGGACAAGGTTATGATGGAGCTAGTAATATGCAAGAAGAATTTAATGGTTTGAAGACATTGGTTTTGAAAGAGAATAGATGTGCTTATTATATTCATTGTTTTGCCCATCAACTCCAGTTGGCTCTTATGCCTTTGGCAAAGAACCATGATGATGTTGATGATCTTTTTAATATCATGGCGATTGTGGTTAATATTGTCGGTACTTCGTCAAAGCATTGCGATCTTCTTAGAGATAAGCAAGCTTGTAAAGTTATTGAAACTCTTTCTAATGGTGAACTATCAAGTGGAAAAGGTCTCAATCAAGAGACTAATCTGCAACGTGCCAGTGATACGCGTTGGGGCTCGCATTATGGTACGTTAATGAGCATAATCTTGATGTTTTCATTCATTATCGATGTTCTTGAAATTGTGGCAAAAGATGGGTCAAACTCTGAGCAAAGATTTCATGCAAAAAACATATTTAAATTGATGCAATCATTTGACTTTGTGTTTAGTCTATTTTTTATGAAAGATATACTTGGCTTTACAAGTGAACTTTCTCAAGCACTATAAAGAAAAGATCAAGGTATTGTAAATGCTATGAATTTGGTTGAAGCATGTAAGCAAGCTTTAAAATTGATCAAAGATAATGGATGAGAGACTTTATTAAGCAAAGTTTATTCTTTTTGTGCCAATCATGACATTGATGTTCCTAATATGGATGACAAGTTTTTTATTCAAGGGCGATCACAACATAAGGCTCAAGGTATCACAAACATGCATCGTTACTGCATTGAATTATTTTATAATGTCCTAGATATGCAGCTTCAAGAGTTGAATAATCGTTTCAATGAGATAAACACTGAATTGCTTATTTGTTTGGCATGTTTATGTCCAAATGAATCGTTTATTGTTTTTGATAAACAGAAATTGATACGCCTTGCCAAACTTTATCCTGATGATTTTTCTGACTTAGAACTCATGGCACTTGATTCTCAACTTGATGTTTACATTTTGGATATGCACTCTAATGTCAAATTTATGGGATTAAAAGGGATTGGAGATCTGGCAAAATGATGCTTGAAACTTAGAAGGATAGAGTATTTCCATTAGTTTATTTGTTGATGAAATTAGCATTGATTCTACTTGTTGCCATTGCTAGTGTAGAGAGAGTATTTTTAGCAATGAATTTTGTGAAGAATCGTTTGCGAAATAGAATAAGTGATCAATGGTTGAATGATAGCTTAGTTGTGTATATAGAGAAATATGTATTTGATAATATTGATAATGAAGTCATTATACAATACTTTCAAAAGATGAAATCCCGTCGAAGACAATTATAAATGTACTAGTTAATGAGAATTTTATAAATACAAAATTTATGCTTATGTTAATATAAAATTGTATTGTTCTTTTAACTTTGACCCTCCTATACATTATTTCTGGCTACGCCCCTACAAGGGCAGTATGGTATTTTCCCCTTTCTACATTATTTTTCTTCTCTTCTTCTTTCCTTTTTTTTTTTTTTTTTCTCACTCCTTTCCTTTTTTGTTCTTTTCTCTGTCCCCACCAAGAACCACCACCCATGAACTCCCTTGGCTTTATCGCAACCATCATTATATTAATATATGTAGATCTCCGGGCAATATAGAATCTTTTTCGGTTTTTTCTCGGCAAAATGTCATTGCCAATGACCTCCTCATCACCACTATGGTTAAATTTCTCAAAAATCTACCCAAAGGTGCTAGAGACAACAGTTGATCCATTGGCGAATCCCCTGACTGGTTACAAGGTATGCCCCATATGTAATAGAATAAAACATCCTCTATTAGTTTATGAAACAAAAAAATGTTACATGGAACATCATCGCTTTCTATCGTTTTAATTGTCTTTTACAGGAAAGGAAACTACAAGATAGTAGATGAGAAATGGGTAATGTACCATGAGTTTATTCAAGTGAAATATATTGTGAAGCAGTTTAACAATATTTCATGATTTAGTACCCAGAAAAAACCCAAATAACAAAAATATTAAACGCAAATGTCTACTTGAGTGACTAAACTAATGGAAGAAGACTATTTTTAGCCCTAAGAGGCTTGCCTGATGGTGAAGAATATTTACTCATTTCATTGACTTCTTAAGTTCGAACCACTTTAGAGTCACCTTCCATATTTGTAACTTAACTTAGAACATTGAGTTTGTATTGTGTTCAATGTGCTTGGAGGTTTAGTCGAGGTGTGCGCAAACTGATCTAGACACCTTGGTTTCAATTAAATTACTTGTCAAAGTTGAGAATACCACACAATCTTGATGTCATGCATATTGAGAAGAACAAATGAGATAGTGTTATCAAAACTTTGTTGAACATCGAAGGTAAAATAAAAATATTGATAGGGCTACAACGGATTTTTAATATATAATGTTATGCCTAAAACAAGGGCTGACTCATGCTGATGTCATCGAACACCAATCAAAGTTCCAGAGTGCTTTCTGCCATCTAAAACATGCCACGTCTCTAAAGACAAAAGGAATATAACTGTCAACAACCGAACCGACTCAAGAATTTGTCCTTGGATGAATTTGGTTCGTACACCTATCCAAGCCCCATTTAATTTAAGGATATTATTTGAGTTCTCAACGAATGGTAAGGTAAGAGAGATATTCACAGCATCAGGCCACTTGCAAAAGTGTAATAATTACATTCAGCATAATGGGTATAAATAAGCAGTTTCCCCTCACAAAATCGGGATCATACACTCTTGAATTCAACAAAGAAAATTGCAAAAACACACTGCTAGAAATAAACTGGCTTGACATTCTCTAAGAACACTTAGAACACCAATCACTTTTAATACCAGATCATAGTTTGCGACCTCTTGTAATCTTGTTTAACGCCTAGGAACAGATTAATATAAAAAAAACATAGTGGATGTAGGATTCACTTTAAGCATCTGAACCACTATAAAATTTCCTTGTCAACTTTACTTTTATGTTCTTTGCATGCTATTGTGCAAACAGTACCTCACCCACAAAATCTAATTAGCTCATGTGTGATTTCTTAGCACTTCACATATTCGAAGTCGTTGATGTCAAAATCAAGCGTTAACATATAGAGGGTGTGTTTGTTTGCAAGAATTGCATCGCACTGTATCAAGTTGATGAACACTGGATTAGTGGATTTACAGTATTTATATATTTATGGAAAACAAACTTGCAGCCCTGTGGGTTTATACATTATTGCATATTCATTCTTTTCTTTTTCAAAAACATTTTTTGTTAAAGAATTATTATATAATACTTATAAGATCTGAAGTTTTTTGGTATAGACATGCTTGAAGAAGTTTTATTTTCTCTATCTATTTTGAAATTAAATAGAGAATAAGACGATTCTTGCTTATTTGAGAGAGCTAGAAACCTCCAAAATTAAGATAGAACCTTTATACAAATAATCATGATCTCATTCCAATATAAATCTAGGAAATATATAGTAGCTTACAACCATATTTCTATGCTAAATAGTCATACTTCCCTGCTAAATAGCAACATGCGCTCAACAACTTAAACAAATCAAAATATATGTTCAACCCCAACTAAAGAATCCTAAATATGTGGTTGACTTAACTAAAATAAAACTTATCCATATCATAATCTAATTTATATAAATTATTAAGATAAACTCAATATTAATTAAGAAATACATTAATAAGAAAACTCCTAAAAAATATTAAAATACAATTTAATTAACATTTACCCATTATCAAAATGGGTGAGTAACATTTTCCTTCTCAAAGTTTTTATTAAATGATTTTTTATTATTTATTTAAAAATTAAAAAATATTTCACATAATTATATTTTTAATTAGTTAATTAATTATACATATATATTTTTATTTAAATAATTAATTATATATTTAGTCCAATATTACATTAAACACTTGACAGTATTAAATTTAATTCATTATAGTTCAATCCAACTCACTCCAATCCAGTACAATTAAGTGCTTGTACTTAATACTTTGTAAAAATAAAGGAGTTATATCATGAAGGAATTATATCTACAACATCAAAATGATCTTTTGGTAGAGCATCATGCTTGTCATTATTTACGTTGTCCCAAAGACAGTTCTACAAATTCCTAAAAGGTTTAAAGTTTCCATCTCTGTTTTAAAAATCAAAATGGACCGGCTGGTCGGACCGAGACCTGACAGATTCTCTGGTCCGGTTCAAGTCTTAGGGGAGTTTTTATAATATTTCAAAATTATAAGGGTTAATATGTAGTTTTATAAGGGTGTTTTGGAGATATGTCAAAAGTTTAGGGATTAATTGGTAATTTTTTGGGTGCATTTTTGAAATAAATAAAAATTTTATGGACTAATTTGAACTTTTTAGGGGAATTTTTGTAATATATTAAAATTTGAGAGATTATAGTAATTTTTAAAAAATAAAATTATCACTGACGTTATCGGTCCAACCAGTTGGACCGGTTGACCCGTGACCCGGATAGCAAAACAGGTCACCCTCCGGTCCGGGTTTTAAAACAATGATTTTCATATGATTTCACCTCTAATAAGATTATTACTTGCTTGAGTGGATTTTTTGTTATTTCAATCACTTACTTTATGATTTAAGTTGCATATTTTGAGTAAATTTTATTTTGAAGACTTCATGGTTTTGAAGACTTGATGGTTATTGACTAATAAATATTGGTGATCTCCCCCTAATTCTCTCTATTTCCTAGCCTATCTAATTCTCAAAGTTTTAATTGCCGTATAGCGTACCTTTAAGGCCAAACGACTTGCGCATACCCAAGGTTTGCCTACCTAAAAGGTTTGGAAACGATAAACATGTATCTTCCGTCATGTGCTGTTAGTGATTTCTGTTTGTTAACAGTGAAAAGACTAAAATACCCTTGAAAGTTTGATATTTTAGTTTTTTATAAATTTAAAAATTTCTAAAAAAACCCCATAAGTTTGCTAATTTAACTAAACACCCTCATATATAAAAAGTTTGTTAAATGACAAAAACACCCCCACCACCTGCAGTGTCAGATACTGGCCACCACCACCGGAATCTGGCCAGAAATTGCGTTACGACACAGACCTGTAGATCTGGCCATCGACATCGCAGATGGAGTTTTGCGGCCACGACGGCCAGATCTAGCTGTAGATCTGGCCTTTTCCTACCAGATCAGCCACGGATCTGGTCGTCGAGGCCGCAAAACTCCATCTGCTGCCTCGACCGCCAGATCGACACGTTACGACACAGATCCGACGGGTCTGTGTCGTAACGCAATTTCCCGACCAGTTTTCAACGATGGTGGCCGGAATCTGGCACTGCGGGTGGTGGGGGTGTTTTTTTTATTTAACAAACTTTTTATATATGGGGGTGTTTAGTTAAATTAGCAAACCTAGGGGGTTTTTTAGAAAATTTTAAATTTATAAAAAACTAAAATATCAAACTTTTAAGGACATTTTAGTCTTTTCACTATTAACAAACAGAAATCACTAACAACACGTGACGGAAGGTACTTGTTTATCGTTTCTAAACCTTTTAGGTACCAATTTGTCATTACGGCAAACTTTGGGTATGCGTAAGTCGTTCGGCCTACCTTTAATTACTTCAGAACTATAAATGCAGATATCAAGTGACTCCTATAGTCCTATATAAGTTGCTGCATTCCCATATGAAAATGTTGATGCTCTTTCTACTACATATATGGCTTGAGTTGAGTTGCTAAACAAATCTTGTCAGAAAAGGGTTAGAATTGTAGGATTAGCGGAGTTCAAAGAAAGCTGGTTGATTCATAGTTGACAAATCACTTAGAATACAGAAGTAAGGTTTCCATTGCCATCTTTTTGATACCTTGCCTTGTTAATTGCAGCAAAATGCTAAATGTGCTCCTTTCACTTTGACGTTTGTCATGCTACATTATTCGTTATCTGGGTGTCAGATGGCTTGATTTTGGAGCCGGACACAGCCCCAGTGCGATAAACGACGATCAGACATTCTTCCAGTGCAAAGTAATAGTATGAACGATCAGTTTCCTATGGAAGGACTCACTCTGCAGTTTTCAGAATGATCCATCTTCTGACACCTTAAGCGGGGGATGCCCAGCTAATTTGCCAACCTTGGTGAGATACGGAAGAGTTTTGTTCACGTAATTGTTACCATTGCTGCTCGACATCACTACCTTCAGAATTATCTATTCTGCATTTTGGTAAAGAGCATAGCTGTATCCTATAATGTGATATAAAAAAAACTTGAAGTAGTTGCTGAGTTCAATAGTTTCAATTTCCTTGTGATATTTATTTCTGCTTCAATCTTGATTATCTTTAAAGAGCTTGTTCCTTTTGTTAGGTGAACAGGAAGAAAGCCACTGTTATTTAAAGCAGTACTGAGGTTGGAAGTTCAACACTAAACAATGAAATAATAATTGAAATGTTGAATTTGAAAGATAAAATAAATTTATTAACTGTCCGCATTAATTCGTCCATTTTATGCAATTGATAATATTATTAAACCAGGAAAATATATCTATAAAAATTACAAACATTTGCAATATCCGAAGTTTCACCAGTGTAGATCACCGAAATTTCAAAGATCTAAATTACTCTGCATCTAATGAAAGCATTGTGGGGAAAGAATTGACTGTGGTTTGAAGAGATAAACCAGAATGTTATGACAGATATTGTTGGTTGATCATAGGTTCTCTTCCCAACTGTCATATTTCTCCATCAACCACGCCAATACAAGAATTGTGTACTTCAAATAAAACTCAATACCAGAACAGAAGCAGTGTTCAGCTAGCATTTTTCTCTTCCCACAAACTACTGTCAAAACTTATAACAGTTCTGAGAACAGTGCTTAATATAGCAGCAGTATCAGCAAACAAGCAGGTAAGGTAACTAATCAAAGTCAGCAAAGTACTCAATTGAGTAAAAAACGTGTGGTTACAAGGCGTACCTAACAAGAATGAATGACTTATTCTGCTATTCATCCCAATGAACCAAAATCTTTAGGGGGCCATATCTATCAGCAAAGAATTCAAAAAAAAAAAAAAAAAAAAACACACACACACACACACATGAGAAGACAATATGAAGAATATTATAACATTTTTGATATCTAAAAATTGTTTTTGAGTACAAACTAGATAATTTTTCTCATAAACAAAACTCAAAGTCATATTGCAGAAGAAGTGTTTAATTTACTGCCTTCCTATAAAAAAATACCAGTAACAAGCAATAGCGTTTAGAGTTGCATGACAGAAAACTACATACAAGAAGTGATAAGTCCTAAGGGCCATGACCTCAATCTGAACATATCTTCACTCTTGCCACTCAAATTGAAAGGAAAGCAAAAGGAAAGACCTCATGGAACCATTGGGGATTGCAAGGATATCCTTCACCACAATTTCGATATTTAATCCAAAATGTTTCAGGAAATGGTTTTACAATGGCTGTCAACTAAAACAACCTTGGTTGCAATGTCTAGGCTTACAGTACTTGAACAGATTAGGCTTAAATCTTTTCAATCCTCAAGCGAAAATGTTGTAAAATAATATATGCTCACTTCCACTAATTGTGGGTTTGAGAGGATATTGATGTATGCAGCTGTATCTTTCCCACATAGAATTAACTACATTATCATACGAGAAACAATTTATGCAAACAAACATCAGAGAAAAAGTTCTAAAACAAGAAAAATAAGCTCACCTTCCAAAATATTTTCGCTTCAAGAAGACCATAAGGAACAGCCCCAAAATTCCTTGAATCATATGAATTATAAATGTTATCCCCCTGTATCCATATGTGTCCCTTTGGAACCTTAATCAAAACACAAACAAAAAAATTATCAATAAAAAAAGGTTAAAAAAACACCAAAAAGGTCATTAAGCTAAAAACAGAACGTAAAGTGGCAAAATTGCAACATCCCGATCCACTGTCAACCCATGACTTCAATATCGGGAGTAAATCCAGAGTGGATTCAAATCAAGTGGGACGTGCTTTGAGCACCACTGTTTGAGGGGGTAAGAGATAAATCAACAGTGGGCAGATGTTACAAAGATAACTTAATTCTTAAAACCCACCAACTAAACTGACAGCACAATCTCTAAACCCCATTATCCCAAAACCAATCTGAAACCAAAAATTATGCAAAAAAGAACTATACCACAATAGTTTCCGACTGGTCACCATTTTGTGGGTCGACAACGTATGCAATACGATCACCCTCCACTCCAATCACGCGCTTCGTGACAATTTTTCTTGGAACCTCAGGCGACCGCACAAGAACGACATCTCCGGGACTCAATTTATTGAAGCGCGGCGAGAGCCGCTCCGCCAAGACAATAGTAGGCGTTAAATTGAGAGTGGGCAACATGCTGGGACCGGACGTCTGCGATAATGAGAATGGCGTGATTCTCAAAACACTTGAAAATAAAACCGACAATGAAAATCACGAGGGCTAAACTGCAATTTACCAGAGCTGGAGTGACGAGGTAACTGTTGACAACGTGGAGGCAGCAGAAAAATTTTCCAACTGCGAGAGATATGTCGAATCCTTCCTTGGCGAAGCTCTTTAATAGATTCAGACTATTTCTCAATCCCATCTTGGCCTCGCCTCTCTTGTCGCTGAAATTTTTGAATTTCGGTCTCTCTTGTACGCTGCGGTGAGAATAAGGGATGAGAACTTTTTCTCCGTTGGTTTTCAGTCCATTATAGTTTAACCTAGAATTTTGAACTATGGCAAACGTATTAAAAATTTAAAAGTGTTGACTGGGCATTTCAGGCATTTCAGTCAGATTAATTTATGTCACGTTAAAAAATACAAAAAAAGAAATATTCAAAGTCAAGTTACCAAATATCAAATTAATTAAGGTGCACTTAAAAGAACTTTGTGTAAATTTCCTTATAAAGATGTTTAAAAAGAACCACCATGCACTTTTAGAAAAAAAAAAAAAAAAATCAATTTTTTTTTTTTCTAAATAAATTCAAATGATTAACTATAATTAGAATCAGCAAAATGTTCATATTTTTCGGTTAATATAAAATGACCCAAATTTAGGGGCTATAGAAATTATCAAATTAACCAAAATCCCAATCCCTATACCCAGATAACCAGCTTCTTTAATTGAATACCATAATACCCTCATCCTTAACCTCCCAAGTCCCAACACTTAACCAAAAACCCTCTCTTTTTCAAATTCTTATTTGCAATCTCTCACACAAAAACTCCATTAAGCAAGAAAAATCATTACATCTAGGTAATAAGATTGATCTTAACTTAAAATCATTATATCCTTCCAATTATTCATTTTCGATCTTAACTTAAGATGATGTTTATGTCTTGTTATTGTTTTGATTTATACTTAATGAGAGTATTGTTATAAGATATTATTTAATTGCGTGATAATTTCTAATTGACCTAAAAAACCATGTCAAGTGCATAAATTTTACGGCAACTGAAAACAAGCAAAAAATACATTGTTTTCACCCGGCAAAAAATCATGCCAGATGCCTAAAATTTAGGCTAGGTGCCATATGGCGTGGGTTTTTTATGCCAATAGGGAATGTTCACATGAAATTTCCCAGTTGACATAATTTTTCATGCCAATCGAAAAAAGCGTGCTTAGCGTCCAATACACTTCTATTAACATCAAACATAACAACACCCACCCCACCAAACCCCCAAAACCAATAACTTCAACCAATAAACATAACAAAACAAAAATCAATCCATCTCACAATTTTCGATTCACTCCAACGACGGAAATACACTGTTGTCAATCTTGTTTCTTCTCCACACGATAACGAGTGCTGAAAATCTTCAAACTAACGATTAAATGATTAAATCTTCGCTTGTTTTGTGATTAAATTACAAAACATATGATTAAAACTGTGAAAACCCATATTTTTCAATTAAAATTGTGAAAAATAAAATAAAAACTCTTTTAATTATTTTAGGCTTTTTTGTAGTACTGAAACAAACTCTTGCAACGTGTAGAGAGAAAATGGATATTATGGGTGTGTTTGTTTTAGTATTTTTGATATTTTTAGAGTTTGGTGGGAATAACGAGGTAGGGTTTAAAAATTAACAAAAATACCCCCTAGGTTTGTTAAATAACTAAACACCCCTGTAATAAAAAAAATTAAAAATTACAAAAACACCCCCACTCACCCATTAAATTCCTGCAACCAGGTGCCCGGAGTCACCGTATTGGCGCACGAGCGACTGGATCTGACCGATCGTGCGTCAAGATGACCTTTTTCAACCAGATCTACCATGATATGGCCGTTGTTGACGACCAGCTATGGTCAAAGATCTGGCCGTGGATCTAGTCTTTTCATGGATCTGGCCAGAAAATAATAGATCGACGCACTACTTGCCAGATCCAGCTGGTAGTGCACCATTATACCAGATTCCGACCACCTTCTAACAGTGGTAGCCGGAATTTGGCAAATGTGGGTGGCTGGGAGTGTTTTTATCAATTTTTAAACTTTTTTCTAGGCGTGTTTAGTTAAATTAATAAACTTAAGGGGTTTAAAGAGTTGAAAATATAATAGTATTTTCAAAATAGGGAAACAAACTGGTATTTTAGAAATAGTATGAATATGATAGTTAAAAATATTTAAACAAACAAACCCAATTGTCTTTACACGGTAGATTATTTGTCCCTTGGTACAGCCAATTAACGCCGTCACGTTTAGGGGTATTAAGTTAAGTTTCTAAACATGATGAACCTTTAATTTTGTCCAAATTCAGGAGTGTAAATAAGTGTATAAAAAACCACAGAGAAATCAGTGACTAAACTGCTTAAAAAAAATAAAATAAAATAAAATCTCACCCTTTTCTTCTCACGATCTCTTACCATCGTCACACCGCCTACGTGAAGTCGCCATTACGCAACAGCAACGGCCACCACCACGCAGCATCACCTATAATGTAATTTTTTTAATTTAATGATTGTTGGACTTAAAGTTTTCTTTGAGTTAATTGTAATTTTGAATTTCGTTGTGGATTAGTTTCATTGTCGTTGGCTTTTGTTTAAGAAATCTTGTTTCTATCATATGAATAGATGGTGATGTTTGCTGCTAAGTTTTTATGAGATTGGTGGGTTATAAATTTACAGGAATTTAGTGGAATAAATTGAATTACCATGTACGATTTCAATTAGAGGCTGGTCTCAATCTTCTGTTAATAGCTTCGTCCTCTCAAATTTTAATTATTTTTAAAATGAATATAATTAAAAGTAATTAATATTAGAAAAAGATATATAGACAAATTAAATAGTTTGATTAAAATACTGAAATACCCTTACACGGAGTAATTTACGGGTCTAGGAAAATAAGGTTGAAGAGTAAAATCACTGCTCACATCAGTCTGTCTTCCCAGGCTTTGCTCTCCCGATAGCCATTACATTCTATAATCTGCAGGTATTTGTTTTCATCTTTACTTCATATCTTTTTCTTGCCGACTATGAAAACAATTGCTTTATCTTAATCTCTAGTTTTTGTGGAAAGAAATAGAATTGAAGTTTTACATAATATATATATATATATATATATATTTGGTTAGTTCTTTGTTAAAGACCAAAAAGGAAATGAATCAAACAGATTGTGAACATAATTTTGGTTTGTTTGTTTCTAGTTTCTTATGCCATTGCGTATTCTTTGATATCTAGAAAGATGTCAATGTCAAGGCTTTCAAGTAGAACTCATCTATGGCCTTTCCTGCAACATTCTAGGTAATTTTTGTATTTTTTATGACAATTATTTATATTTAATTAATAATACTAATATGTAATTTCTTGTTCATCTTTTTCCAAGAATTCTCTGAAATCCTATTTGGGTTTTTATTATACAGGTGTATACATAATGTTTTGTGGTCGAGTTATAAATACACTGGAGCTAGTACCGGATATAATGGTGTATTAGGGTTGATGCCAAGAAGTGGATATAGCAGGGGTTCGATTAACAAATCTTGGGAATCTCAGTCCTTTGGTTCTAGGTCTCTTTGGAGATCTAATTCTTTGCTTAGTATTCAAAGACAATACACCTCTCATGCTTCTACCCAACAGAAATCACAAAAAATGCTTTTGTACCTCACAGCGTTGGTTTTTGGGATGGTGGGTTGTAGTTATGCTGCTGTCCCTTTGTATAGAACATTTTGCCAAGCTACTGGCTATGGGGGAACTGTTCAGCGCCGTGAGGTGAGGCTGTGTTTGTATTTCATTTTGTTTCATTTTCTGTTTGCTAGTGTACTGTGCAGCCTCTGGTGTTACTGTAAATTACTAAATGTCATTTTTTGTCTTTAGAGTGTTGAAGAAAAGATTGCGCGCCATACAAAAGATGGAATTGTCACTTCAAGGTCTATTTTATACTTCTTGAGTATCAAAACTTAACTAAATTTATGTTTCTCTTTTTGCTTAGTGATGCATATCTTGTCTCACTCCACTTGCAAACCATAGAGTGTTCACCTTGTTTTTCCTAAACTTGGGAAATGGAAAATAATAGAAGACCAAGAAGATAGTGTGATAGTTGTTTGAGTTCAGGAAATTATAATAATCTCATCCCACCTTTCTCAAGTACACTTCTTCCCTTCTGCTTTTTGAGATATTTTATAATTTGAAAAATTATATTATTTATGATGTGATGCCTTGTTCTAATTATGTACTAGCTTCTGTCAAAATGGGAATCCCAATAAATGATGGGAGTGGAAGCTATTATATTTATGATTATTTAGGGTTGACGATCCTGTTATTTAGAAGTATGTGTTATCTTATGAGTATGTTTAATTGGTTATTGACTTAACTATGATGAAATTTAATCTGTATTCCACTGCATATGTCTTCTCTTGACACAGTTTTTTTCTGTATTTTTGTTTTTACATCTTTAGGGAGATTGTGGTGCAATTTAATGCTGATGTTGCTGATGGAATGCCATGGAAATTTATTCCTACACAAAGAGAGGTGATCGTTGTTCGCTTCTATGTCACTGCGTGCGCACTCACATTCTGACTCACTAAAATTCTGTGTAATATGGTTATTGTACTGTATTGTGCTGCATATATTTTTTAATATGGAGTTAAGAATGCTATTAGGCTTATTTCCTCCCTCTGTAGGTAAGAGTCAAACCTGGAGAAAGTGCCCTTGCATTTTACACTGCTGAAAATCGAAGTTCAGCTCCAATAACTGGTGTCTCTACATATAATGTCACCCCTATGAAGGTACTGATGTTTGATATCAAATCATTTAATTGTTGGTGGTGTGAGCAAACCTTGAATTATAAATATTAAAATCTATCCAGTATTATTGTTAAAGCTTTTCGGTGTAAAATGGTAAAGGGTATATTAGCTGTTGATATAACTATTTAAAGGTAGCCTGATAAATCAACTTATGTGTTTGTGACCATTCTCAAGTTAGAGGATAGAGAAACAGTAAAGCAGCTCTGTTTTACAAAGAATAGAAAGATACTAAAGGAGAAATGTATAATCAGGCCTCTATGTCATTTGTTTTCACAGTATATGTTTGACTTTTTGGTGGTTAGCCCTGTGGTTGAATTTGGCATTCTGGAGGACCTTAATTTGACCAAGAGTAACTTGGATAATCTGCTTTTTAATCACTTGTTTTTAGTGAGTACTTTAGTTCACTTCCCTTGACCTCAAATTCTTAACAGAAGGCCTTCTTTAAATCAGTCAACCTGGGAAAGTTATAAGATGTAGTATATGCACCTCCCAGTCCTATCAGAATATACAATTGCTCATGTGCTCTCTTCCTCTCTTTCTCTTGCTGTTCTAACTTACTATGTTTGTGTGTGAAGCCAATTATCTTTTATCTGGAATTTTTGTGGTTATTAGCAGTATCTATTAGAATAGGCCCTAATGTAAGAAACTGCCATCTCTTTTTTATTTGTTTATTTATTTATTTATTTTTTTGGCTTTTCCTCCTATTGAAATTTGGATTCCAACAGAATAAAATGTAAGATGCTGATTTTCCTCCATTAGCATTTGCAATTTAACTTATGCATATTGCAGAGTGTTAATGTTGTAGCGTGTGTTTGGTATGCTAGACTGGAATAGATTGTATCTTTGGGATTGAATTGGAGTAAATCGGATTAGATAAGACTAGATTTTGTAGGACCTTGTTTTGATGCAGTACCAGACTGAAGTAGCCTTTTCAAGTACAGGCTTTTGGCAGTTCTAAAAGCTGAATAAACTTTGAAAAGATAAGGTCAAATGGTCATGCCTACCATGTAATGATATCAAGAACAGCAAACATAGCCATGTTTGTCTTTTGATCTTCTTTGGAGTTGGAAGTGAAGAATTTGGGTAGTGAAGCCCGCACTTCTGCAGAATCTTAGAACAGCAAGAGATAAAATGTTGGTTTAAAAAAATTTAGAAGTTTAACCCTTTAATTATTTTGGTGGACATGAAGGGAAAAAACTGAATCTATATTTGTTTGTCATCATTGTAGGTTACATTTTTTAATAGTTTATTGTTTAAAATTAATATGGTCATGCCTACATGTAATGATATCACATTTTTAACAAGTTTAGTTTTAACTTTCCATTGAATGGCTAATACTATATTATTTGGTTGTTCGATTATGTGTTTTTTTGACTGACGTGAGAGATCAGATTGTTGAGTGACTATCCAATTTTCTGCCTTAAAGCTGCCTGCTTTGTCACATTAAATTTGGATTGTTTAGATATCTCCAGATTGTGGGTATTCCTGTTGAGTTTTTTTTTTTTTTTTTTTTGAAATTCTATGGGTGGGAAGTGACTTGGTTATTGCTTCTTCAGGCTGCAGTTTACTTCAATAAAATACAGTGCTTTTGCTTTGAGGAGCAGCGCCTTCTTCCAGGGGAGCAGATTGACATGCCTGTAAGTGGTGATTTTTTTATTTTTTTTATTTAGCATTTTAGAGTTTTGAGAAGTGCTTACATGAGATGATTTCACCAAATGAACATGTTAACGAGATGAGACCGTCTAATGAAATATTAACCACACAAATGCTAGTGTTTTAAACAAACCACCATCGAGGTGGTTATTGATGAACCATGGTTTTGATTATCAAGGAAAAGTTGAACTATCACATATGTGGTTAGCATGTGACTAATTTTAATTAGATGGTTCATCACATTAATAAAGTGATGTGGTTTTAAATGCACTTATATTTGTGACCTTCTGACTTGTGAATCACATTTGCAGGTATTTTTTTATATTGACCCTGAGTTTGAAACGGATCCTAGAATGGATGGAATAAACAACTTGATCTTATCCTATACATTTTTCAAGGTCTCTGAGGAATAAAAAGAGAAGGTGATTTTGTAGTGACATTAAAGCATAAATACTTAGGTTGAATAAAAAAAATCACTTTCCCTAACAGGGAAAAATTGTGAGGAAATTTCATTACGAAATCAAATTATATAGGAATTAACGCTGTATAAACAATTAGTTGAGGGAAAGTTCACTTTTCTTTGCTTCAGTTTTTCTTGTTATCATATTCTACCATCTTTTTTATTTTTATTCATAACAATTTTATGTATTCTGTCATTTTTGAAAAGTTTTTCTTCACTTTCTACCTTCGATTTTTCCTTCTTCAAAATTTTCTATTAAATTTTGTGTGATCGATGTATTTTTAACATGTATTTGGCAGAAAAAAGTTACATTATTGCTTCAATAACATTAGTATATTGATAATAAACTGAAATGATAATTTTATTAGTTTAAGAACTTTCTTATTGGAGAGTTGGTTTTTTTTTTTTTTTTTTTTAAATGTATATTTGCTCTTAAATTTTAGGGTTAGTTTTATTGTCATAGAAATAGTTAAGTTTTAAAACGTCATAATGAGTTTATAGAAATTCAGTCTTACGGTTCGATAACGATTTTATAAAAGTACTAGATCTTTCTAAAATTACAAAAGCTTTAAAAAATATCATAAATTCTATAAAATATGAAAAGCTCTCTAAAATTACTAAAAAAAAAAAAAAAAAACCACAATATAAAAAAAAAAAAATAAGGGAGGTTTTTGATATCCCAAAAGCTCTTGAAAAATATCAAATCATCTATAAATATAAAAAAAATAAAACAAACTTATAGATCAAAACCTCTCTAACGATAGGTGTTTTTGCTATTATTTTAAAATCGTTGTGGTGCTTGAACTAAGCTATCTCTTTAAAGGACTCAAGAAACACAAACCCTAAATTTTACTTCCTTGACAACCTTGTGTCACCGTCCTTAAAAATCTAAAAATTATTTAAAAACAAAAATCAAATGATCAATTGTTAACAAGAATCCTATTGGCCATGATATATATATATATATTAAGGGTAGAAAACTCTTCTTGGAAAATAATGACCATTTTTCGATGGATCACTTGGCATTGCCTTCTTAAATTTATCAAACAATTAGATAAAAGAATACGTGGTTTCATCAGATAAGATTGAATAAGAAAATGCACTGTTTGACTGCTATTATTAACTCTTAAAATAGGAGCGAAATCATCCCGTACCGATTGGTGTTGTAGGTGGAATCGAATACAATCACATCGCCATAAATGATAAAACTTGTAAGCAGAATGAGATACTGCATCAACCCAAAAACAATGAGTAATCTGTTCTTCATTGTCTACCTATATGGTGAAAGTGAAAGAAGAATTCTTCTCTTGCTCATCTTGCATATACTCAAATAACATTTCTGCATCATCTCCGTTTCTCAAATCCCTTTCATGGTGTTATATATCTTTTTGTGTGCATCAAATATTTTCTATTTTCCCCACCTTTAATTCTAGGATGCTAAATTGTTGATGCATAGGAACATTTGCTGCCGAAAATTTCTGAGTCAAAGCTTTTTGGGCAACCAAAACATTACGGTGAGATCTTAATAGATGTACTTTTCTTGGGGTTGTCAAGGAATGGTTATGAGCTTCTACAAATATACTAACAACATAATTCCCAGATTTTGTCCACACCACAGCAAGCTTTGCATTACAACCCCCTCTAACTATCCCATGACGTCTCTTTTTTTCACTAACTTCTTCTTTCATTGTTGTTCCTTCCTTAAAGCACACATACTCCTTCCTTACTATGACAGTCGTCTCTTAGTTCTTCTTGCTTGAATTAATTCTAACACTAAATCTAGCCTCTTTAGCATATATGTTGTAAAAATCATGTACATCATCTAATGATGCAAATTCTTGACCTACTTTTGGCTTCCGTTCATGTGGTACTTCAAGTTCATAAGTATTATCTATAGAACTTAATAATGGTTGGTCAATTACTTTACCAAAATCTTTTACTTCCATGTCTCAAAACTGAAAAAAGGATATATGTAGAAAAAATATTATTTATATGTAGAAAAAATATTATTAACTAAAAAAATATTAATCAATCAAAGTATAAGTAACAGGGAATTAAAAAAACTAAATATATTTGATTTGACCTACAGCATAACAGAACAACGAAGTACTTGGTACAACCAAACCAACTTATGTCCGTAAGTTAACATAGCAACTAAATAAAATATTCCTTAAAACTAGTGAAACTTAAAACTCTAAATTAACTCAATCAATCAATTACTTATTTATAATTAATTCCTATTTCTAAACAGGTAAAATTTATAGAATATATAAAACTTGTAAAAGAATTTAAAAATAAAATGAAATATGTTGTAATTGATTAATTCTATGTTCAGAGAAATTTACAAATATAAATAAAACACATTAAACCCTAACCAAAATTTTATGCCATAAACCAGCAAAATATTCAACAAGAGAAAACAAAATTAAGCTATATAATTGGAAAAATGGTGGAATAGAATATATATATATACCCCCACGCTTCGAGACCCAACGCCCTCGTTGGTCTTCTTTCTAAAGAGCGCCCGCCCTCATCGGCCTTTACTGCCCTCCCTTTGGGTCTTACTTCGCTTAGAAACCTGTTAGACCCTAGAAGTCTGTCAACAACTCTCCTTCTCGACCCCTCGGGGGGCCCACTAGGCCCAACTGCATGGGCTCCACGTCGGCCTCTTTACCCCTTGAGTGACTTTGCGGATTCCCTTTCCTTGGGGTAGACCTTGCGTAGGATCATGCTCTGATACCATTGATAGGAACCCACTCCAATAACTTAACAATTTGGGCTGGGCCTTGGGTCTTTCATGGGCTTGGGTAGAACTCTCCTTGGAAAACCGGCTTGCCAAGGGAGGGTGTCCAAGCCTTTATGACCCACATGCCCACCATTTTCCCTTTCAATGTGTGACCTACGCAACACCAAAGAAGTTTGTCGATATGGCTGTAGGCGCAGATATACCCAATCACCAACTGCGAATTCCCTCTCCATTCTGCCCTTATCATATGCAGACTTCATTCTGGCTTGGGGTTGTTGAAGTTGAGATCTTAAGTTGCGAAGAGTTTGATCTCTAGCTTGCAATGTTTGATCTACAGCCTCAACCTTCCTTGTACCTGGGACATAAGTGAGTAAGTTGGGTGCCGACCTGCCATACACCACTTCGAAGGGGATTTTGCGAGTAGAAGCATGTAGGCTTGGGTTATAACAAAATTTAGCCCAAGGAAGCCAGTGCACCCATTCATGAGGTTTGGAACTTGTGAAACAATGTAGGTACATCTCCAAGGTTCAATTTACAGCTTCGGTTTGCCCGTCAGTTTGCGGATGATAAGATGAGCTATAGTTGAAACTAGTCCCCTGCAGAGTAAAAAGCTCCTTCCAAAAAACACTCAAGAAAGTGGAGTCATGGTCACACACAATAGAGTTTGGCATACCATGAAGCTTGAATATATTTTCAAAAAATACTTGTGCCACTTTTGGGGCCGTGTAAGGATGTGCTAATGGGATAAAGTGTGCATACTTGGATAGCCAATCCACCACCACAAAGATTAATGTTTTTCCCTTTGATGGGGGTAGTCCATCAATAAAATCCATAGAAATGTCAGTCCATACCTGTGTAAGGATGGGTAATGGGTGGAGAAGGCCAGCTGGAGTTTGGTGGTCAACTTTATGGCGTTNTAAAAACATAAGCATGACTCAGCACCACATACCCACTAATAGCAACTAAATAGCTATCAGATACCCAACTAAATAACTAAAGAGTGGTGGCTAAAGAATAGCTCAGAATAGCTAAACTGTAGCCCACTATTATGACTGCATGTTGACCAACTCAACTTAAAGAAATAAAACATTTGACTAACTTTACTTACGATATATATACAAGATGACTTAACAACTAAAATAATGGAAATCTAAAAGGACCATAATGCAGACACGTGACATTCCTCCCTTGTTGAAAAGGGTCCTTGTCCTCAAGGACTAGAAAAATCAGGAAACCTTGCTTTGAAAGAGTCTTCTTCTTCCCACATAACTTCTGTAACTGGAAGACCTTGCTAGTGGATTACTAGTTCATGTTGACGGCCTCTCTGGTGACTATTCAGAATCGCCATGGGCTGAGGCTGTAGAAATCCTGAATCTTTTGACATAATTGGCAAGCTTGAGTCTGCCGTATTTCTAACACTCAACTACTTCTTAAGGAGGGAGACATGAAACACAGGATGAATCTTAGTTCCTGGAGGTAGGTCCAATCAATAAGCTATTGCACCAACTCGCTCCAGCACTCGATAAGGCCCATAAAAATGTGGTGAAAGCTTTTGTGACATGCGCAACACCAAAGAAGTTTGTCAATATGGCTGTAGGCGTAGATATACCCAATCACCAACTTTGAATTCCCTCTCCATTCTGCCTTTATCATATGCAGACTTCATTCTGGCTTGGGATTGTTGAAGTTGAGATCTTAAGTCGCGAAGAATTTGATCTCTAGCTTGCAATGTTTGATCTACAACCTCAACCTTCGATGTACCTGGGACATAAGTGAGTAAGTTGGGTGCCAACCTACCATACACCACTTCGAAGGGGGTTTTGCGAGTAGAAACATGTAGGCTTGTGTTATAAAAAAATTCAGCCCAAGGAAGCCAGTGCACCCATTCATGAGGTTTGGAACTTGTGAAACAACATAGGTACATCTCCAAGGTTTGATTTACAGCTTCGGTTTGCCCATCAGTTTGCAGATGATAAGACGAGCTATAGTTGAAACTAGTCCCTTGTAGGGTAAAAAGCTCCTTCCAAAAAACACTCAAGAAAGTGGAGTCACGGTCACACACAATAGAGTTTGGAATACCATGAAGCTTGAATATATTTTCAAAAAATACTTGTGCCACTTTTAGGGCTATGTAAGGATGTGCTAATGGGATAAAGTGTGCATACTTGGATAGCCGATCCACCACCACAAAGATTACTGTTTTTCCTTTTGATGGGGGTAGTCCATCAATAAAATCCATAGAAATGTTAGTCCGTACCTATGTAGGGATGGGTAATATGTGGAGAAGGCCAACTGGAGTTTGGTGGTCAACTTTATGGCGTTGACAAAGATCATAGTGCTTGATGTAATATGTTAGTGTCTTTTTCATGTTCTTCCAATAAAAAAATTCCCTTAGTCTGTGGAAAGTCTTGTGAAAACCTTCATGCCCACTGCCATGTATCTCTTGGAGAATGATAGGAATTAAATCTGAATTTGCAGGTAGGTAAATGCGATCCTTAAAGAACATAATTCCATCCTGATTCTCCCATGGTCTGAGAGCCTCGCCCTGTACATGTAACTGATGGACTTTCTGCAACTCTAGGCGTGATTGGTTTTCAACTTTGATGGCCTCTAACCATTGTGGCAAAGGGCTAGAGATTGCATTAAGTTCCTCTCTTCTTGATAAAGCATCTGCAGCCACATTGTGCTTCCCCTTCTTGTACTCAATGGAAAAATCATAGCCCATTAACTTTATTAGCCATTTTTGTTATGGCTTTGTTGTTGTTCGTTGCTGCCAAAGGAATTTGAGTCTTCGTTGATTTGTTCGCACCACAAAATGACGTCCTAATAAATATGGTCGCCATTTTTTTACTGCTAAAACTAGTGCCATCAACTCTTTCTCGTAGGTAGACAACAAAAGGCTCTTTCCCTTCAAGGCAATGCTGAAAAATGCAATCGGTCATTATTCTTGCATGAGGACAGCTCCTAACCCATTTTCAAACGCATCACATTCTACTATGAACAAAAGATCAAAGTTGGGCAATGCTAATACTGGGGCCTGGGTCATGGAATGCTTCAACTCCTTAAATGCTTTATTTGCATCTTGAGTCCAAGAGAAACCATCTTTTCGTAACATGGTTGTTAACGGTGCTGTAATTTCTCCATAACCTGCAATAAACTTACAATAATAACCGGTTAGTCCCAAAAAACCTCGCAAGGCTTTGACAGTAGTAGATTTCAGCCAATCCACCATTGCTTTAATTTTCTCCGGATCCACCTTTACACTTTTTTCACAGATGATATGGCCCAAGTATTGAACTTGGGTTTGTTCGAATTGGCATTTATTTATTTATTTATTATTATTTTTTTTAACTGCAAGATGATGAGCTCTCAAAATAGAAAATGCAATTCTGACATGCTGCTCATGCTCAACCCAAGTACGACTATAGATTAGGATATCATCAAAGAATACCAAAATCAATTTCCGTAAATGAGCTTTGAAAATTTCATTCATAAGAGACTGAAACGTAGAAGGAGCATTAGAGAGCCCAAAGGGCATTACCAGGAATTCAAAGTGCCCATGGTGAGTTCGAAAGGTTGTTTTATAGACATATCGGGAAGCCATACAAATCTGAAAATATCCATATCAGAGATCAAGGTTTGTGAAGAATTTAGCACCACATAGCTCATCCAATAACTCATCAATAACTGGGATTGGGAATTTGTCCTTCACTGTCACTCGATTAAGTGCCCTGTAGTCCACACAAAACCTCCAGCTCCCATCATGTTTTCTCACCAACAGTACCAGAGAGGAAAATGGGCTTTGACTTGGTCGTATTATTCCTTGAGATAACATATCCTCCACCATTCACTCAATTTCTTGTTTTTGGAAGTGAGGATAACGATATGGATGGACACAAACTGGACCTACTCCAGGTTGGAGGGGAATATTATGATCATGAGTGCATGGTGGTGGTAACCTTGTGGGTGCCTAAAACAAATCACCAAACTCGGTCAGCAAAAAATCAAATTCAACACTGGATGTTACCTCAGAACATGTGTCTATAGTTTGAATTGGTTGGGTGGCACAGACTTGCAACATAAATGCTCGGCCTTGACTTTACCTCAGAGTCTTAGGAATGATTTCTCCCTTAAGAGCAATAAGTCTAGAGGAAAGTGATCCTTGTAGCAGCACTTTTTTCCCATTTATATTAAATTGCATCTGCATTTGACCAAATTCCCATAAGATAGGACCTAGTATGCACAACCACTAGGCCCCTAGGACAGCATCACAACCTTTTAAGGACAGCAAGAAAAAATCAACTTCTACTGTTATGCCTTGCAACGTCAATGGCACGTTAGTGCAGCGGCCTGGGCTTGATGATTTTTCACTATTAGCGACCATCACATTAAGTAAACATCCAATTTCAGGCTTAAGACCAACTATTTTGGCAAGCCCATGATGAAGAAAATCATGAGTAGAACCGAAGTCGATTAGAACTGTTAGCAGGGTTTTACCGATCCGTGACTGTATACGCATGGTTTACAGAGATTAAACCCCTACTAGGGCGTGTAAAGAGATAGCTGGCATCTCATCTTCTTCGCAATTATGGTTGTCTTCTTCCACAACCTTTGAAAGCTCTATTTCTTTTACCGACTCATGTGTACTTTTTCTGCAAATTTTTGGAAATACATGAGAAGGAGAAAATACAAATTGAGTCCCACTATTATGTAAAATCTCGACGTTTTACATTTTGTATTGGATTAAAATGTAATTAATTGTACATAATTCCTAATAAAATTTGACATGAAACCATTGCATTGGGTTTGGGTGTGTATTTTTACATTTTGCATTAGAGTTAAATGCAAGTGCGTTTGGTTTAGGGAACGTTGTAGTACTGGAAATGTTATATTAATTAAAAAATAGATTCTCTTGAAAGTAGAATGCTTAGGAAAATGTGTTTAGTTAGATTAAAATAAATTGGTGGATATATTATATTGATATTTTTGGTTGGGAGGATAAATTGATGGGTATGTTATATAGATGCCCTCCTTTTTTAAAATTAATATAATATTATTTTTATTATTGTTTTTTGAATAATTTCTTTTTAATTCCCTACATTTGAAATTTTGCTAGAATACCATAGTTATATAAAATTTTAATTTGTAACAAAATCACCCCCACTCACCCCAAGCCACTATCGGCAGCCAGCCACCACTGTTGGCACCATTGGTAGTCGTTGGAATGGCGCATGACTGGTCGAATTTGACCGGCCGTGTGCCGGCAAAGCCGTTTTCAGCCATGGATCACAAATCCATGGCCATTTCACGGCCACATCTTTAGCCGTGAAACGGTCAAATCTGGCAATTTCTGGACATGGATCATATATCCATAGCCGAAAAAGGCCTTACTAACGCACGGCCGGCTAGATCTAGCCGGCTGTGCACCATTCCGATGACTGCTGGAGGTAGTCGGCAGTTGGCAGTGGTGGCCGGCGGCTGGCAACAGTCTTAGGTGGCTGGGGTGGCTGTGGTCTTAGGTAATTTGGTTGAAGTACAAAGGTAGTTTTGTCTATGAGATTAAAATTGTTCATAAATTTATTGTAAATTGTTTAGATAATAAGGGTATTATTGTTCTAAAATTTAATTAATAAATGGTAAAATTATAACAAAATTAAGATTACCAAGTAATTTTAAGACATATAAGAAAATGAAGGTAATTAGATTACCTCCTATATTACCAACAATAATTATTATTGATTTTGAAATATTATCAAAATCTTATGTTACTTAACAACCAAATATCCAAATGTGATAATAAAGTAATATAAGATGATATTAACAGGAGATTACCCCAATCAAACACGCCCTCCGTTAAATTTTACATGACATGACAATGCATTGGTCCCGTTAATAAGTAATTTTCTTGGGGTTTTATATTTTATACTTGAGTAAAATATAATTTTACGTAGCCCCTAAAAAATTTTATTTGATATAACAATGCATTGGGCCCCACTAATGAGTAATTTTTTTTTTTTTTATTTCATTTTATTGTAATGTACTATAATAAAATTTTACATAACCCGTTGATGAAATTTTATATTATATGACTTTTTTATCGTTAGACCTTAGATTGATCTGATGGTTGGGATAAGGGGTATATATATTAAGTCCTATACAAGTGTTTTAAGTGTAATTAAGTAGTAGTTCAAATCTTAAAGAACTGGGCTAGTGGGAGGGAGGTTATTCAGTCTTGGCAAAGTCCTCAGTTCGAGTTTCACTTGTGACGAAGTCTTTATTGGTGGAAGTCCTAGGTTTGAGTCTCCCTTGTGACGAGGTCTTTACTCTTTACGGGTGGGATAAAGTAGTAGTTCCAAATTATGATACAGTTATTGAATTATATTATATATATATGTGGTTGCAACACTTGATGGCAAGTGATATGCAGGTAAAATCAATTTGTCCATTAATATCAAAACATGATTTACACCAATCAAATCAAAACTTCACTTTTATTTGACTAGTACAGGAGTTGCTACTATTACACACACTCACTAGAGGAGATTTTGACAATGAAAGTCATTAAAATTAATCTAGTAATTAAGAGCTACACTATGAGACTAATGAAGGAAGCATTAAGAAGAGTTATTTGGGTGCATTCTCATCAGTTGCTTTTATTTAATAGAATTCCAATTAGCATGAGAGTTTCCAAAACCGTAGAGTTCATTCCCACTAATAATGCAGCTCTTCCCATTCACCATTCTCATACTTGGCTCTCTTGGAACTGTCAATGGCCGGCTTGATCTTCACAACACAAAACAAACCATCATCAAATTGTTAAGTTTCTCTCTAATCAGAAAAAGAATAAATAGATGTATTGGTATACCTTTGTGGGAAGAAAGGTCTATCAAAATGAGGCATCAATTGGGCTCTTGGAACCATCTCCTTTCTCATCAAACGTACCTCTTCTTCTTCTAACATCTGTTATTCAAATTAATACAAAAACTAATTAACTATTATAAAATAAATATAATAATTAAAATATAAATAGCTACCTTCTGCAACTTCTCAACTCGTTTCTTGTGTATCTCCATGAGATATAACTTGGTTGCAACCTGTATGATTGATTTTTTTTTTTTTTTTTTTTCTCAATTTAACTTTCAAATACAATATATCCAAAGCTCAAAGTAAAATTTGGATAGGAATAGGATGATAAATAAATTAAGACTACTGACAGAATAGTTGAACATAGCTCGTTTCACAGCTCTTTGTTGAGTATGGAGTGTGAACTCTAACGGCTTCGTGTTGTCCTTTGTCGTGGCCGCCTTTGGTGTAACCTATTATATTGGACATACATCAATTCAAGCACAGTTTCAAGACTGACTTTTTTAAGTATATAATAAAGTTACCTTATACTTGTTCACTTCCTGATCTTTTGCCTGTGCACCAAATCCAATATATTTCAATTCAAATCAGTTATTTTATTTATTAACCATTCGATCAAATAATTTTAACCAATCAACCAAAATTAGCCATGTAATTTCTAGCATGGCTAGCTATGACAACTTATTTATAAAATTACTTCTAACATTTGAATAGTTTGGAAGGAATAATTTGTATAATTAGAGATAAATTAAACAATTAGAGTAAATGATGGGTGACACATTAGTCTATAAGGAATAATTTGTATAATTTGTTTGTACACGTACGTGCAGGGGTCTCACCATTCCTGAAGCAGTAGAACTCCATGTAACAGCAGACTGTGAACCAGCCTTCACAAACTAATTAATATTGAAACAAAAACAAATTAAAAGAAAACATTAATTTAGAATTATAAAAATATATATAATACATATAACAATAAACTAAACAACCTTGAGCGCTGACTTGGCGTTTGCTTTCTCCATTTTTGGGGGGAGCAAGTAGCTAAATTGGTTTAATTATATTAAACACATTACATTGAAACAAAAGAGAGAAATGATGAGCATTTAAAGGGATGCAATTAAGGTTTGGAGATTTGTAATTGTCTTAGTTTTGTTCAAACATCACAAGCATTTGCATATTGCAATTTCTTTCTTGCACCAAACTGTCTGATTAAATTTCCTTCTCATGCATACATATTTGTCCTAATATGTTCCTTCAGATCTCTTCTTTGCTATTCAATTTTTATTTTTATTTAAATTCCTTCTTCTTTTAACTAACTCATCACATCACTCTTCATATTTTTATTGCTCAAAACATACTCACTTCACCAACTGACAACCCAGCTACTTATTGCAAACCAAAATATTTTCATAAAACATTTTCCCGATGAGAAGCAAAACATAGGATATAAATTTTGTATACATCATCAATTATTATTTTAAACCATATCATAACTTAATTCATCAAATTAATGCTACATCGATCTTTTGAGAAGCAAAAATATAGTGTACAAATATTGTATACGTATCATTATTTTTAGTTTGTAAAACGAGAATTAATTGGAGCTTAGCATGAATTGCACTATCATTAACTAAAATAAAGGAGAAATGAAGCAAGGTTTAGTGAGTGATTCAAGTAACATGGTTGAGTTGTCTAAACCTGAAGATTATTAATTAGTGAGTGGACTATTTGTTTTTTAGTTTAGTTCATTTTCCTCCAACTAATTCAGATCTCCTAAGAGAGGCAAAAAGAGCAAAAGGGTTGTTAACCACCCACTTTCAACCATTTCTTGTTAAGGCCGTTATCTAACCAAGAGCATATTTTATTTAATTAATTAAACAAGTTTTAATTATTATGATTAGCCTCACTTCCATTTTCTCACCCTAACTTTATTGGATTAACAATTTCTCATCCCAACTTTTAGAAACTATCAATATTCTACCCAATTTTAAATTTCAAATGTTAAAGTTTAACAATCAATAGGTATTTACGTCTTTTTATTCAATATATATAACTTTAAGAAAAATTTCTAAATAAACCCCAATCTCTATCTTAAATTAGAAAAATAACTCAAAGACAAAGTTATATAAATAAATAAAAATAAAAAATAAAAAAAACACTAACTAAATATAATTGACAGCTATGGTCATAGAGGATGCTACTCAGCCAGGCTAGACCCAGAGCCATCGCTATTGGCGCTTGGCCACACCATGGCCACATTGGGAGTGAAAAAGGTCTTCATTTCGCTTAGCCCTCAGCTGTGGAAGGCCGGTGTAACAGCCGCACCACAACCGAAACTTGGGTGAGAAATGGTTAATTCGCCAAATCTTGGGTGGGAAAATGTAAATCAGTCTTATTATTACAATAATTAATTAGGCGTGGTATAATTTAGGCTTATGATTACTATGAATGCACGTCATATAGTTAAAGTTAGGTGATGATTCGAAAATTAAACCACCAACTATATGCTTAAAATTCAAGTTTTATGATCATAAAACGACATAACCAATCAATATTATACGGCTTTTAACTAATTGAAGAAACACTGAATGGATAAACCTCACACAGTCAAATTCACAGCAACTTCAACACCATTTCATTTCTTGTTTCTCAAGCTGATGATTTTGTTGGAAAAGAGGTTCAAAAGTAAAAAGTAAAAGTGCATCTTTATTGTTGGCAAAGAGGTTCAAAAGTAAAAGAAAATCATTTATAGTAAAAGTAAAAGTAAAAGTAAAAGTAAAAGTGCAACATTATTGTTGGCAAAGAGGTTCAAAAGTAAAAGAAAATCATTCATAGTACTAAAGGTACAATATTATGACCTTTTTCCATGATGACTTTTACTTGAACATCAATTAAGGCCTCCTATAAGGTACCAAGGATTAATTAATGGTTATTTTGTCTCCAATATTTGAAAATTTTTATGCAGATTTTTTTTTTAATTTTTAATTTTTTTTTAATTTTCATAAATTATCTAATTAATAAATAAGATTCCTGAGTTTTAATTGATGAGTTATCACATTTTTTAAAATAATTAATTCATTATGAATCTTTGAATATATATATACCAAGTAAATACTTCGCATTAATTAAATATCAAGTAAAAGGACGGGTTAAGGGATGTATTGTATTATTTTATTTACTCTAATACTCCCTCTTTTTTTATATAAAAGTCGTTTTAATGGTGTTTTATTTTTTCAAATTAAAAGTCACTCCTTGTCTTGTCTTTTCTCCACTTTTCGTCATGGCCTACATCTCCTCTGTCTCTCTTTATCTTATCTTATCTCTTCCCCTCTTCTCCTCTCTTCCATATTTTCCATCGCCCACTTCTTCTTTCTCTACTCTGCATCTCTGCTTCCATCTTCTCTCTCTATTTCGGAATAAAGTTTAAAGACAGGATCCCTGACTCAAACTTTACCGGAGGTCAATTCTTCGACTTTAAGGAGCCACGTTTCGCCGAGTTGCTGTGTGGAGTCGAGGGGTTCGAAGGCGTAAATAAGACAAATGTAAATTATTTAAATATGTAACAGGAAAGTTTCACACCTGCAAAATCTTTTTCTACCTGCAAAATTAGGGGAAAAAGTTGGATGGGAGAGACAAATTTTTTTTTTATTAAAAATCGTGTCCAAGCTTAAAATGACTTTTATATAAAAATGGAGGGAGTAGTTTTCATAAGTTAATTAATTACTTAAAAATATATAGATTATTATTGATTTAAACATTAATAAAAATTAATTTTAATTTTTTTGCATTAATAAATATATATATATTTTTTTGTAACGTTTCTAATAATTAATATAATATAAATTAAAAGTAAATTAAAGTTTTCAAATTAATTATTGAATTTTAGTTAATTCGTGTCAAAATTTTAATTAAAAAACTAAAGACAAATTAATGTAATACAATGATACACTTATCATCCTACTATATTTGGTATGGTATTATTATTATATAGTTCTATACAATACAATACAATCTTAATATGCAATGTCGTGCATCAAACATACACTAAAAGTTTATATTTTTTCTTGTACCTTAAATAAATGATAGAATGTTGGAGATCTTTACCAAATCATAGTAGCCAAAAAACACAAAAAAACGAAATGTGAAATTAACTCAGTCGGAAAATTTTCCAAATGGAAGCCATAATGAAATTAAACTACATTTTACTTCATGCTAAAAGGAGACTACATCGCCATTTTGCCGTTTCTCACTAAAGTGTTGCTTACTTCTTTTAACGATTTAAAGCTTCATATTTAAGATCTAAGGTTGGAAGGGTGAAAATAAAATGAAATGAAATGAAATGTTGATAATGGTCGCTCAGTTCTGGGAAAAACTTGAAATTGCACGATTGAATTCAAACGAGGAAGGACTAGTGACTCAAGTGGGTTGATTTGGGCCTTACTATAAATCAAGCCCAAGCTCTGTTTGATTGGAAGTCAGCTTGGGCTTTACATGAGCAGGTCCAATGGCATCAAGTAAAGTTAGCTTGGGCTTCACTCAACCTTAGCCCATTATGTTTAGATTTTTTAAGAATTTATTGATTTGAAAATCTACTTAAAATGTAATTCATAAAAGAAAAATGTTATCCTTATAAAGACCTATACAAAGAGGGCTACAAAGTGACATAAGAGAGAAGAAAAAACAAAGAAAGAAGGGGAAGAGAGAGAGAGAGAGAGAGAGAGAGAGAAAATTCATGAAGATCAAGGGTAGCAATTGTCTTTGTATGCCTGTTAGGGCCAAAAAATGTCCTCAGCCCGAATGAGAAAACGCGTCTGACAATGAGGAAAAGACCAGGCCCAATCCCGATGCGGCCCAAGCCAGAACTCCCCGAATAAGGCCCATTTGGTACGAGGTACAGTCGGTCCAAACCATTTGGATACATGCCTTCTAATCCCAGTACACTTCATGGACCTATGGTCGAATTCAGAGCCCACGGCCACCTACTGATCATTTTCCTACTCAAACACTGATAAAGTAGTCCACTACCATCCCAACTCCTCCAAGGTCCGTGTCAGAGTTATACTTGGACTCCCTTTCACGCCAGGATAATGAGGGCCAAAGGATAAATTCTTGGAGGAAACGGATTACTACGAGAACTCCCAATCCTGGTAGGATTGGGAGATCAGATAGTCACTATTTAAATAGAGGTCAACCCTCTCACAAGGGGGATGACACTACACCTTTAGACCCCGGAGTTCTAACTTGAGAACTTCACATTACAGTCGTAGTCACAGTCCCCGACTAGACTTCTGGTAACCTCTCTACTTCCCAACCCTCACTAAATCAACTTCTTTCAGCCTTGCTGACTTGAGCGTCGGAGTGCCTACGGCAAACACCATCCCGGCGTTTTCCGTCGCTTCACGTTTGTTTCTCTACGTGTGTAGGTACAGCAGATCGCTAGTGGCCTCAACCTCACGAGATCAGTTCCTCTTTCCATACAGGTAGATTTTTACGTCTACAATGCCCCCTTTGTATTTGTCTTTGTAAGCTTAACACTTCTCTTCATAAAAAAACATAATAAACAACAAATAAGATAATTAAAATGACAATAACAAAAAAATTATTATTAAACATTTTTTATTGAAATTATACTTATCATTGATTAATCTTAATCAAATGACTCGGTCCTTGACCTCCAAAGATAAGTTAATTTACTTAACCAATTGGCTAAAGACCTTTTTATGAAAGTGCATTACAACATAAATAAAATTATACAAAAATTATAAGATATGAAAAGAATAAATTTAAATTATTTAATATAAAAAAAAATTAATATATATATATTGGAGACTATGTTAGAGTTTTTTTATAGGATTTGTGTAAAACCTTTACATAAAAATTTGTTTTAGGGTTTAAGTTTTTCAATTTTATAATCTTTCTATAGATTTATATTACGGTTTTTCAAAGTTTTCAATTTTATATGTGAATTTATTTTAGGGTATAATTTTTTTATTTTCACATTTATCATTTTATAAAGAAATATAAATTTCAGTTTTTTTTTTTTTTTTTAATCTCCTGTACTCTTAAAGAAAGTTTTTGCTTTTTTCTAAATCCTAAAAATAAAGAAAGTACAAATATAGTAGAACCTCTCTATAGTTATAATGTTGGGACCAACTAAATTTATTACTATGAGGATATTACAACTTAATAGAGGTATAGTTAAAAGAATTATTGTATTCATTTCTTATTTTATAATTCATGTTTTAGTAGTATTAGGATTTTAATTCATTGTTTTAGTAGCATTAGGATAATACGGAAATCGATATCAAAGAGTCATTGCAAAATTGAGTGATCAAATTTGACAACTTCACTATACTAATCAAATAAACATTAATATCTTCCTCAATCATCCAAATAAGTAATAAGGCATGTATGCTTTAACTGAAAAAGAAATAATTACTGGAATTAGACAAAAAGAGGAAGGAGATAATCCTGAGGATGATAGTATGAAAATATCAAAAGTTTCGTGCCAAGAAGCTCTAAATATGCTTGAGAGTTAGAAATATTTTGGCTTCAACAAGAAGGTGTCCATGCTGGCAACTTATTACGTACCCGTAAGATAAAAGATGTGGTAACAACTCTAAAGCATAAATCATTGTCCCAAACAACTTTAGATAAATATCTTACTTCATCTTAAACCTTTAATGTAACTTAACATATATATTTTGCAATATACATATAGTTATTACTATGTAGAGGCAAGTTCCTTAAGACGGGACCTAGAAAAATTATAACTTATTGCCATGTGAAATTTATTTTTATTTATAACTGGCCAAAGTTGGGACCAAAATTTTTTATGACTACATGGAGGTTATTCCTATATAGAGTATTAGTATAGAGAGGTTCTACTGTATCTTTATTTTTAAAATAAAAAGGGGATAAAATTTTGAAGTCATAGATAAAACTATGGATAAAATTGCAATTGCATTGGTCAAACCTGGTCTTCCCTCCATATTAACTGCAAAGGGTGTAAGTGGCTGTTAATGTAAGTGGTTGTTTTGAAGAGTAAACGACATATTCCTACCCAAGGTTCAACAAAATGGCAAGTTGGTATCTCTCGTTTCATTTATTCCATATTTCTACCTTTACAGTAACACAGTTAACCATTGTTGGGTTCTAACTCCTATGTAGAGGTTGTAATTACTGAACCGCCCTTGAACCTTTGACTTTTGATTATTTAGTAATAAAAAATTGAGTGGACATATAAAAAATCGAGAATGCCCCCATATTTATTATATATACCCATAATAAATTTATGAAATCACCATAATGCCCCTTTATTTTAACTGTAAAATGCCAAATTTTAGTGGTGAATTACCCTAAACCCTAATAAAAATCATAAAACCCACGAAAATAAATAAAAAAATTAACCCTTCTATCTTCTTGGTTCCTACCCCCTAGCATTGCCGTAACTTCTCAAGCCACTTTGGCCATTCACGACACTGGAGAACAAATGTGAGGGTCCCTGGATGATGATTAAAGCCTAAACGGCCCGATCACAACATGCATGAAAGTTGTTAGCGTGTCGAGGTGCCTCAAGCCACGTGGTCGCCTCTAGCCAGTGCGCGACCACCTAGCCAGCCCTCGACGCTGACCACCCTATGTAACACCACTAGTTGCTTCCCCTCACCATCCCCACCAAAACCCCGACACCATCTAGCCGCGCTGCTTACCGCTTGTCACCCAAGTCTTCTCTTTATCATGTTGCGTGACCCCATATTGTCGCAAACTGCCCCTATCAAGCCTACCGGTAGAACCTCGCCGCCCAACGGCCTGTCGCGTGCCACTTGTAGTTGTGTTGCTTTGGTTTTTTTTATAGAATAGGAGTTTGATTGAGTTGGTTGTGTGATTGAATCGAGGTTTGGTTGAATTTGATTTTTGATTTGTTTGTTTGGGATTGTGAATTTTTTTTTCGAAAAATTCCAATTGGAAGATCGCCAAAAAAAAGGGAGGTAAGTTCATTTTTTTTTTCTTCTGGTAAAAGCCTTTTGGCTTTGTTTTAAGATCGGGAAAGGGGTTTCCCTGATGTTGCGCAATGGAAATGAGAGATTTGGCTGGAGCTGGAGGTTGTGGAGGAGGTTTAGGTGAAGGTGGAGGCTTTGGTGGTGGTGGAGGAAGAGATGTTGGAGGTGGTTTAGATGAAGGTGGAGGCTTTGGAGTTAGTGGCTTGGAAAACGGCTGTTCGTTTTTATAGAATGGTCGTTTCACTTTAGACCTTCAAGATGTATTAGTCTTTCAATTTTGACTTCAAATATTTGTCGAACGGCTTGGTGGAATGGTCGTTCTATTAGGAATGGCTTGACTGGAAGTTGTCTCAATTTGGGCAGAATCATGAATAGCTTGGTAGAACGAGATCATTCATGTGGAACGATTTGTATGTAGAGTGGAATGGGCGTTCCTCTATTGTGAAATGACATTACTACCTGGAATTCTTCATTTTCATTTGTTGGTTTTAACTTGTGTCATACTTATCAAACACAGACCATGGAGAATGTCATGGTCGATATATGTCAAGAGATGTTTGTCAAGGAAGACCATTTTTCTAGTAGTGTGTATATATAATCAAACTTATTTTTATTCCCAATTTCCATCAATCAGTAGACCAATGAAGGCACTAGTCAAGAGGGTACTCAACAACCTAGTAACCAATGCAAACAACAATCCAATGAGCATCAAAATAAACATTCTAGTCTAGAATCAACTCAATTTTCATCTCAAGGGTCAATTACATGTATTTTTTTTTTTTTATTTTATAACTTAATGTTTAATAATTATCAATCCACTCAATTAATTTAACCTAATCTTTAGTATTTTAATTCCGTTTGATAGGAAATAAAGCTGGAAATGCAATCAATTGTCAAGCTATTGGAAATGTTTCAGCTAAAGCTTCAAGGAAATATATTTGATTAGAAGTGTGTTGGTAACAATTATTGGTGTGAATTTTTTTTGTTTTTTGTTTTTAAAGCTTTGTTCATAATAGGAAATGAATGACTTCTGATTAGGTTGATAAATATATTATACATATTTTTAATTTTTGTTCACTTGCTACACCATATTTATGGATTTTGGATATTGATAATCCATTTCTGAGCAGTATTGAATTAGATAGCATTATTGCTTGTATGTCAAGGTTGTGTATTCAAATATTGTTTTATACTATGTTATATGATATATGAATTGTTGGTTATTCATAATATTTGTTAATGTGTCTGTTACATTGCCTTGTTATCTTCTTACATGATTATAATGGAATGCATGGTTAATCTGTGTTGCTTAATGAAGCTGTGTAATGACTTTTGATGTTGGTACTCTATTGTGGTTATGATGCATATGGAAAAAGATGTAGGTATGATGTTGGTTGTGAGCTTTTGTAGGCAACGTTTTTAAACCCCAGAATATAGCTTTTGTAGGCAACGTTTTTAAACCCCATAATATTGGAGTCCAGCAATAGTTCCATTCCATATTTTTTAAGTTTTTGTTTTATATGCAGGGGCATTGTGGTCTTATCATTCAAGATTTTGGGTCAATAAATGGATTCCTCCAACGTCCGTTAGTTGTGAGAATTATGAGTAAAAAACATGTTCCCACGCAAGGTTTTGCGAATCAGCAAGTTCGCACCCTTGGTTTCATAACTTCTAGATTCCTACCTTTAAATTAACAGAAAATCATATTATTTAACGATTAAGAGGTATTTAGGTCTTTTTATCCCAAAAAAGCCTCACTCTCAAAATTTACTCATAACCTAATCCTGCCCGAGACCTTCAACTCCACCATCAACACCAACCCACCACCATCCCCTTGTTGCCTCAAATGCCATCTTCCAGTCGTCGAAAAACCCCATCTGCATGACTTTTCATCTTCCATGGCCGTGTGACTCTCTGGCTAACCTCTGGTGCATGTTAGCAAGCACTGCCCTTGCTGTTTTGCCACTTTTCTAGTTACATAAATTGCTTCCAACCCCATTTTCCCACTCATCGGCTCTTCCTCTTCCATCCCCACTCATCCCCTTATCACCTAAACCCCACAATAGCCGTTGGCTGCCTTATTAAGGATTTGCAACTTTGTCACACTTTCTTCTCCTTTCTCTGGCCCGCCTACTCACCAGAAATGCCTCCAACCATTACCATTCGAACCAGCTACCCTCTTGAATCGGTCCTCCATGTGTCACCGATTTGTCACCACCTCCTCTCAAAGGTGCTTGGTTGAATGATGAATTGGGATTTGTTTTTTTTTTTTTTTTTTTTTTTTTTTTTTTTTTTTTTTTTTTAACATTTAAAGCATTTTTATGAACTTGTTTGCTGGATATGTTGCATTGTTTGTTGCCTTGCCGTGTTGCTATTTTTTTGGTCACCGTTCAACTCCAGCTGCAACTTTTTTTATTGTTGAAGGTTGGCACACCACTATTCGACGAAATTCTGTTGAAAAGCCAATGCCCATTTGTTTTGAAGTTTGGTTGGATTTTGGAATTGGATTGTGTTGTTTCAGTTGATTTTGGCAGTGTAGATGTTTTTGTGTTTTGTTTGTGCAGATAACCCTTACCGCCGACAACTTTTTCATTCTCTCCACCAGCCGCCATGTAACGCCCCACTTGAGGTACGTATTTGTGTTTTCTTCTTTCGCTCTTATTTGAGTTGGTTTTTGGTATATTGTTTGTGAGTGTTTGTCGAATGCTTGCCCTGAAATTGGTTGAAAATAGAAGAAGTTTAGTGTACCAAGCTTCGCCGGGCGAAGAAGAATCTTCGCCGCGGCGAAGAGGTGTTGAAGCCACGGGGAAGCTGCTGGACAGTTTCGCCGCGGCGACAGAAGTTTCTTCGCCGCGGCGACAGCCGATTTAAAATGTTTGTTAAGTTTTAGATATTTTCTTCCCTAAGGCTATTTGACCATTCTACCCCTAATTAGCAGGAAAAGTGGGGAGTTAATTGTAAGGAATTTTCATGGAGATATGTTGTTATGGGGTGAGTTTGTAATGAATCAAAGGATATAGATGGAATTCCCAAAGAAGAGTAAGGCAAAATGAGAATGCTTTGGTATAAATTTCATTAAAGGAATTAAATTAAAACCCTTCATTCTTCTCTCAAAAACGCGCTCCCCATTCTTGTTCATCTCACTTCTCTTTTCTTTTGATCAAGGAGTTTCAAAGGATTTTTGAAGTGATTTGGGGTAGGAAATCAACCTAAGCGTTCCTAAGGTAGATTCCTACTTAAGTTGTGTGATTTGTGAGTTTTAGTTTATATTGAGTTTGAGTTTTTGTTCTTTTGGTTAAGAGTAAGAAAAAGTCAAGCAAAACAAGTAAAGGAAGAGTTGGTGAGTCTCTCCATAACAAGTAAGTAAACCCCAACCCAAGTTGAGATTTAAGAATTTTCTTGATTAGGGTTGATAGAAATGATGTATGTACGTGATACATGTGATAGCCATTTATGGAAGTTTAAATAGAGATTTCTATGCTTTGTAATGTTAATACCTTGCAAATATAGAAATGAGTTTGTTGGGTTGAAAGGTAGTTTGAGATGGAATGGAAGGGTGTCATGGATCCCTTTTTGGAAGTGCCTTCTTTGACAGGTTTATGGTATGTGAAGGTTTTTTCCCCATTTGGATGGTTAGAGAAAGATTTAGAATCATTGCTATAGTAGAGTTTTATAGTGCACTTGAGTTGTTTGATGAATGCCTAATAGAGGTTTGAGTATGAGTAAGAACCTTAATTCTTGCAACATTGCATGTTGGCATTTCATAAGTGCATTGTAGTGATGAACCATCCATAGGCACTAATTGTGCATTGAAAAGTGACCTAAGAAAGTGTAGGAAAATTGTGTATGCAATTACCCTAGAGTAGAGAGCTTGGTGGGTACAACTACCCTAAGGGAAGAGAATTGAAGAATGTTGAATAGAGTGAATTAGAAGAGTAGTAATATTGGGTTGATGCTTTGTGATCATCATCCGACAGTTATGGGAATCGGGTTGATGCTTGTGCACCACCCGAATAGCCCTTAGAGATGGGTCGATGCTTTGTGATCGTCCACCCGATGAGTAGTAAAATGGGTAGATGCTTTGTGACCACTACCCGTTTAGTTGTTGTAGATAAGTGGATGGATGCTTTGTGATCATCATCCGACATTTAGTAGAAGTGGGTTGATGCTTTGTGACCATCACCCGATAGTGACTAGAGACGGGTTAATGCTTGGTGATCGTTACCCAAAATTCATGAGGAACGGGTAGGTGCTAGGTGATCTCCACCCGATAGTTAGGAAAAACCGAGTTGGTGCTTTGTGATCCTCACTCGGTAGTCACTAAGAACGGGTTGGTACTGTGTGAATTCCACTCAATAGCCATGGAGAGTGAGATGGTGCTGTGTGAACGCCATCCGGTAAGATGAGGCCATGATGTTATTAGAAACAGAAATAGAATCAGAAATAGTATAAGGAAAGAATTAAGAGTTGTACATACGGAGACAGACAGATAGAGGGTTTTACTTACTGAGCATTATTTTGTGCTCACCCCGTTATTTTCCTTTGTGGATGCAGGATCTAGGTGTTGATGCAGTCGGAGGGGCGTCGGCAAGCGAGGAGCAATAGCTACACTGTTTCCTCTGTTTTGTCTTTTAAAACGAATTTTTGTAAACAGTTCTCTTTGTGTATAAAAGACATATGAAGTATAATGAAAAGAAAATTTTGGGGCCCAATTTTATATTGTTATTATGCATGCATTGTACTAGTTTTCAGCAGTTGTCACACGCCAGCCAAGCCCCACACAACACTCTCTATACTAATTAAGGAAATCATTATTTATTAAGGACATTTTGTTAATAGCACTCCATGAGATATGGGTGGGACACCAATGATGGGACCCACCCAATTATAATATTGTGTTGTGGTAACTTCCAAAGGTAGTTACCACTATCTTGCAGTAAGGCAACCGTTGCATGTATATAAGAGTTTTTTCATTGATGACAAACACTCTTAACTCTCTTACGCTCAAAAAATTTCTCTCTTCATTCATAATTCTTGCTGGAATTGAAGAAGTCAGTGGTCTGTGCTTTTGATTGACAAAAAAGAGGTATTTATGTTGTGAACTTTATTGCAGTTTGTTTATAAAAAATGTGATTGTGATAATGGCATTTTAATATGATCTTGGGTTTGAATTAAAAAATCTGTTATTCTTAATTTACCAACAATGGTATCAGAGC